GTAATATACTGTGAAATTCCCCTGAACGTTTCGCTCTGAACGTTTCGCTTTCATTTCCTAAAGTATCTCCATATCCATGCAGACTCCATGATTTCTCACTTTAAACTGCCGTCTTTACTTTTGCTTCAGAACTTTGGTTTCAAATGTCACAAATTTATGCAACTTCATGATGTCACGATTCGGAATTCCGCCTTTAAGAGATTAATATAGAATTTTCTATAAGAAATGCAGAGAGCATTTATCAAAACTGAATGAAATATTTGATGGCGCTGTCATCAAATCTGAAATGCGAAACCATCAAATCTGGAACCCACATCTAGCTAATCTACCATCAAACGCTTACACTGAAAAGTGTAATCTAATTTATAAAAGTTTCATAAGAGAAAATGAGGTGGAAAACAAAAACTTAAACTGATTTTAACTATCGCCCAAAAAAGTTTTTAGTCCAAAGGGGCTTTGTTCCTGAGGGACTATTGTTTTAGTTTTGCGATTTTGCGTCGAATCACTCTGAATGCCCGTTTCACTTTTCAAATTGTTGCCACCAAATATTATCGCTCTGTATTATATTTGAAGAAATTAAATAATGATGAATCTGCATAAATGCATGTATTTTCTCGCATTGTGATAAAACTGTGAACATGATATTTAATAAATAAAGGTAACACACAAAATATTAAAAAAAACCTTCCTTTTAACGTAATTTAAAATCTGAATCCTTTCAGATTTTTTATTAATTTCAATAACTTTAAAAATTTTTATGCTGTCTCCCAGTCTACTGTTGCATCTACCCTGCTAACCATTTTTTTCCCTTATTAGCTTTATTATCAAGCGTCATTTTCTTCGCACTTAACGCCATATTCAATTCAACAGCAAAATTAAAAAAAATTAAAAGCAGTAACAGCGTATGTTTAAAATTCACGATGCGGTGTTAGGTGTTCACATAATATTTTCTATTTTTTTCAGTCTTTTCACATTTGATCATATCAATGTTCAGTTTTCTTAGGTAAGATGGCTTGCAAAACTTTTTTGGTCTTCTTATTATTAACATTTTGTGTGTTATTAAATATTATGTTATTCGCAATTACGGCACGTAAAATTCAAATCAATAGCAAAATCACAAAATATTTAAAAACAGCATGCCTTTAGAATTTCCCATACACAGTCTCTCCCGTTGGAGATAGAAATGTTTTATTCCGCACAGTGTTGTCACTTCTTGCTTTCAGATCATTGAGTTTGTTAATTGAAAACTGAATAAAATTTTACAAAATATGAAATATAAAATTCGAAACTAAAAATTCGGCATTTCAGGTGCACATGTTCGTATGAGGACTACGTTATTCAACATTTAATGGCCTTAGGTACCATCTTTTTTTCACAATGCGAGGAACATAAATATATGCAGATTCTTCATTATTTAATTTCATTAAAAATGATAGAGTGTAATAATATTTGATGGCAACAATTTGAAAACCGATTCGCCGTTTATAGTGGACTATGCAAAATCTCGTATCGAGAGAAATAGCCCTTTGAGGCTGACACCCTTTCAGGCTAAAAAAATGCGCACAATCCTCAGAACTTTTAATTCTTCAACTAGTATGTAGCATCAACGAACTGCCAAATGTATAATCTTACTCCTTGTTTAGGTCTGTATTTATTATTAGAATATAGACAAACTTTAACATAGGTAAACATAAGTAAACACTTGAATCTTGAAGCTAACTTTGTCCATGTAATATGACAAACATACAAGGTAATTCAAGATGAATATAAAAAAAGAAACCATATTTGTGATCCCTGTAATAAATTTATTTTACAGGTAAAAGTATGAAACGAAATGTTAATTCTCTAACATTCATTTGGCAATACTGCGAAATCCATTAGAGATAATGATATTAAAATGTTAAACTTCAGTGGGGGGAAAAAATTCATTATTAGCGCTAAAACATGCAAAAACTCCATCGTTAATCGTTGTTTAGAGACACATTTTAATCGAATTTGCTAAAAAAGCACTTCTCTGTCTTACTGACACAAAGGAGATGAAGCATTTTAATGACAGGGGTTACTTGTGCAAGAAAAAAGCACAAACGTTCCGAAATTTGTCCAGGTCAATAACGGAATGGAGAAAATCATTTGTGCGATTTAGTCTTGAAACCTCAGCAAGTCATGCTAACAGACAAGTAAGCAAAATTATCTTGCTAACAGACATTAAGCATCATGCTAACAGACATTAAACATCATGCTAACAGACATTAAGCCATCATGGCGTTTGTTGCACCAGCTTTTGCAGTTCAAGTATTACAAATTTGAGATAGCATAGGCATTAAAAACTGCCGAAAAGTCTAATGGGCGAAGTTTAGCGTAGATCTTCAAATGTATAATTTCGTGTATAGACTCAATGTTCCATGATGAAGCCACGTTTTATGTATACACACATTTCCTGTGACAAAATGAACAAGTATAATTTGATATTTGGTTCACGGAAAACTCGCTAGTTACACAGGCAACATTCTCTGAAGATAAATGTTTTTTGCCTGTTAACAAAATGCGATTTGTTTAGATCTTTTTTCCTTCGCACAACCTTGTAATTTATTCCTTGGGGGTGCTTGAAAAGGAAGATTTTCTTACTCCTACTTCTGAACAGCAAGGGAAGCAGCAGTCAAGGCTAGGCAGTCGACTCAATTTATCAAGCTATATTATTGCTTGTAGAGAGTTTAATGCTTATTAACATTATCCTTGTTATTTTGCGTATATTTTCATTTCTACTTTCGTCGGTTCTCGCCAATATCCACACTAGTTCATGTATTAAGCACAGCGTTCTTAAACAAAAATCTTTTTGGTAGTAGTTATAGCTGACATCTCGCTTTACTTCTCTTAGCAACTATGTTACTTATTTTCTCACTAGTTTCTTAACCGTTACTGCTAGTGAAAGTTTGAGGAGGATTTAATATCTTAATTTTATATCAGTTGTAGTTTCTGATGTTCTCATAAGCTGAATAGAATTTTTTTTTTTTATATTCAAGCTATATAACCGTTAGTCTGACAGTTAGAAAGAAGATTTATTTTAAACTACTGGAGTTATTTTACCTTTTTTTTAAAACCGAAAGTCATCTAACAGTCTATGGATCCAGCAGTTAACAGTTAGAACAGGATAGATTAATACACTTCTGTGGCAGTGGTTTGAGAAATATTTGCTGATATTGCCAAAAGATGACGTTACAAGACCATTTGTTTAATTTACTTGACGCCTTCTCTTCTCAGCGCATGGGCCCACCAGCGGCCGAACGGTAAAGTCGCTGAACACTGGTAGTTCGGTCCGAGGTTCGAATCCCGCGAACTGGCTGTCTGCATGGGTGTTTTCCCCCATGTGTAACGTGTATACGAGCCAGTTTCCCACGTCCTCCACGAAGGCACCCCTCCCTTTAGGCAGATAGGCCTCGAGGCTTTGCCGTAATTAATAACCTAACCTAACTTAACCTTCTCAGCACATGACTATATAGAAACTGAGGATTTAGTCCTCTTTTGTTATGGAGTTTTGAACTGCATCGCGCAGTATGACCGATCATTAGAAATATTTGATGGAACGGATGGAGTTTCTGCTTTTTAAGTTTTGTAATTTAGGCTTTTAGGCTCTCTCATTTGTATATGTGCTTATAATTATATAAGATTTAATTAAAAGATCAGAAACTCTTCATGCCATGCACCTTATTCATTGATTCTCGTTTTGTTTCGAATTTGATCAATTTCGCAAAACTTATTTTCTGAACTCTATCTTGCCATGACAACGCACTTGAAAGCCTTTAGGTTACAAAGTGAAATTATCACGAATTGCTATAAACATAAATTTTGCAGGCTTTTATGTAATGTATGTAGAAAATATATTTCAATTTTAAAAATTAAAATCCAAATTCAGAACAACATAAAATGTTTTGAAAATCTGTATTCTTCTATGCCATTAATTTAATTTTTGAAATGAAAATCCTAATTCAGTAGAGTAGAAAACGATTTGAAAAATCTGTGTTATTTTCAGTTTTGGTAAAAATGCCTAAAGTGTTGTGTGTTTTAGCATTCTCTGCTGTCTCATTTAAACTGAAAGTTCATAATTTGTCGTGAAGAATTTTATGCTAGGTGTCTGATTTTTAGATTTACATGTACTGATAAAATTCATATGCAGCTTCCTTCTCCAAACTCAAATGAACAAAATTTTGAGAATGAGTACTTTTTAAAAATACATAGTGCGTCTATAAAGCATTAAGATTTAATTTTTTAAGAAATTTTTCTAGTATTTGCAGGGGCCAAATGATAAATACTGGCAATGATTACTTATGTTTTTGTTTTCTTTAAAATATCCTTTGCTTACGAAAAGAAATTTAAATGAAATATTTTATTTGCTTTAAAGTAAGCAGTATTTGCTATTGTATTGAATTCAAAACTGACTTGCGAGAGGCAGCTTTCTTTTCGCATAGTGCAACTATCATTAAGTAGTTTATCGCAAATTAATATGTAAATATTCTTAGTGATCTCCTTTATTTGTCAAGTTAGGTGCCTTTCTATTCCAAAATCAAATTTCAATAGGAAAGTTACTATTTCAGATTATTTTAAATGTTCGACAAAACGTAATAAGTGAATAAATGAACATTCCTACCATTAACACCAGTAAACGTAAACAAAAGCTTTCTAAACATGCCAGGAAGAAGGAATTATGTTGTTGGTAAAGCAAGAAACCTATTTCCTTCAAATCTTGAGTTTTATGCGTTCAATTTTAAAATATTTTGGATGCATTCTGTATATGAAAATACCTGAAACTCTGTTTTGTGAGTTTTTACCCTTTTTCAAACTTTGTTTTCTTTTGTCACTCTCCTTCCTGGAAGCTAATATTAAATAGCTCTTCTGCACAAAAAGGAATTTTAAAAACTTTACACAAAAGAATTCAGAATTTGTGGAGTATTTTCCTGAGAAAATTCTATTCCTTATCTTTATGCTTTTATTTATTTCCGAATTAGATGACAATATCCAATTTAACGTCGAATATGATGTACGAAGTTAAAGTTCGAGGAGCCAGTAGAAGTGTTGTTGAGCATTCTAAATTATACAAAGGTCCTTACTCTGAACTAAAGCAAATATTTTTGCAAAGTGAGTAAATAATGAACTTTATTTTTTTTTTCCCAAATATAATTCTTGTTAATGGTACTTTTTTAAATAATGGCAAATTTATTGCATGCTATAAGAGGCAAAATACCTTTTTTCCTGATTTATTAAACTGATCCTTTTTTTAGGTTTATCAAATGCTGCCCTTGAGGAATCTACAATTAGCGTTGGAATTATTTCTGGAATCATATGCGTGTCTTTTGTTTTGCTTTTGGGAATATTAGCCTTTATATTGTGGAGGTAATTATATCGTCTATAATATATAATTATTCAGCTTGTAATTTTTGGAATGAAACGTCTGACTCAGATAGAATGAAAAGTCAGTCTCCTTTTTCTTCCTAGAGGGCTCTACCTGTTTTCGGGGTTTTTAGTTTTGGAGGACCAAGCAGTGCAAGTATTATGATAACACTGGAATTATTTAAATATAATCGTGAATTTTATATAAATTTAAATCATTATATGTAGTTATTCTAAAATTTATGACGAAAGCAATATAAAGGTAAACTGCGCTACAAATTCATAAATCTCCTGTCAGTTATTCTAACAATTAATAGGTTAAAACATTTTTTTTTAGATAAAAAACTAAAATTTTACTTGCAAATATTTGTGTAATATCATTGGAAGTATCTGGGTAACATGTTTCAATTCATGATCTTCTTTTTAAACGTGAAACAAATATTTTACGGAACTTCATATAATAAATGTAAATTAAATACGTTCAGAAAAACGAATAGCTTTTGGTAGATTTGGTTTTTTGGTTTATGGTCAAGGAGACGGTTCATGGTCCGGCTTGGATTCACGTTGCGTATGAGAAAAGCACGAAAACTCTCATGCGGCTAGCCGGTTCGCTGGAATTTGATTCCTGGTGGAACTGTCAACATTTACTGATTTTATCACTTGGTCACTGGAGAACAAAAGAGCTCTTGAAATTAGCTTCATGAGATACTTTTCGTTGAACATTAAAGAAAGTATTAAAAAAAAAAAAATAGAAGGTTCGGTACTAGTAAACACAAACTTGTGTTGATTTACAGATTTACATGTTTGGTAACTGAATTGAATTATCATGGTTACATTATAAAATATCATTGAACAAAATGTAATCTAAATATATAGCATTAGGAGCATCTGCTATTAATTCCGATACTGAAATTTTTTGTAAATTTATAAATGAAGTATATTATCAAATGAATTCATTGTATTAGATATTAAATAATTAAGCGATATTATTAGCATAACTCTGCAATCTCTCTCTTTCAAAGCTGTAAAAATAATTTCATTGAAACTAAAACTAGATTGCAAAATTAACTGCATACTAAAGATTAATCTATGCCAAGTAGTTAGAAACATCTTCTTTTGAATAGAGTCATGATGCAAAAGTTTATAAAAATTATCATGTAAATACAAGTTCAATACAATAATATACAGATCATGCAATACAATAATATACAGATCATGCAATACAATAATATACAGATCATAATACACAGCAATATCTGCAATAAAAACAATTGTATGATGTAGGCATGAAAAGAAATGGAAAACCAGGAAATTAAAAATCCTGAGATATGGATATAAGGAGAGAGAATTTTATTAATTATGAAAATGCCGCAGATGTTCATAATTATCAACTGGATGCATTATAAATTAAATGTGCTCCAAATTATATCAGTTTTTTAAAGTAACTGGAAAACCAAACAAACGGTTAAATGTTTCTAATATCAAAATATGGTGTAAAAACGCTAAGTAATTTAAAAATAACTTCAGTGATTAAAAAATCGAAAGATAAATATATGCTTATTAAAACATCCGTCACCATAACATTGGTGGGAATTTAGACCTGCTTAATTTTTTTAAAAAGTTTTAGTGAACTTCTATAATTAGAACTATTTGCATAAATAATAAGTTTGAAATAAGTCAAAATCATTATATTATCTAAGAAGATTTGTTAATATAGCAAAGAAAACTAATATAAACTTCATTACAGATTTATAGTACTTGAAAGCTTTTATTCAAAGGTTTCGAATCCCTGAGCATTAATAAGTTGTGATTTGTCATTCTTTTAAACATTTTAAAAATGTAATATGAACGCTAATATAATAAATTTTTTTCTTTAGCGCATACCAAGTTTTCATTTAATATTTGCTTTGCATTCACAAATTTCGCTATATCAGAAAGCCGATTATAGCGATTTGTAGTCTGAACAAACGGCTCATTTATAAAGATAAATGGCTTTTTGTAGTGGCCATTCCCTTCTAACTTAATCAGGTTCTTAGGAAAGATGGAAAGGCCAAAGCGAAATCGTGCAATTCACAGTTTTTCTTAGCATTTTCTTTGATGAACTTATGTTAAGCCTGTTAAGGCAGGGGATGGGAAAAAAGTGGTAATTCCTCCTTATTCTCGGGGGCCTACCAGCGGCCGAGCGGTAAAGTCGCTGAACACTGGTAGTTCGGTCCGAGGTTCGAATCCCGTGAACGGGCTGGCTGCATGAGCGTTTTCGTGGTTTTCCCCATGTATAACGTGTATACGAGGCAGTTTCCCTTAGAAAGTCCTCCACGAAGCCATTCCTTCCCTTAGGCAGATAGCTCTCGAGGCTTTGCCATAATCACACACACCTCCTTATTCTCGTGCAGTTGGCATATGACCCTTAATTAAATTTCGTTGAGCTAGTACTTACTTCCAATGCCAACTTGGCTTATATAAGGCATTTATAATGTCTGGGAATTCTCACGTGTTTCTTTCTTGATCTTCAGTTCTAAAACACTTGGTAAGTAAGATACAGTGCATGCTGAAATAATCAACGTGTCTCACTGCTATACCGGTAACTGAGCTGTGTATGTGATGTGGTTCATGGATGAGATGCATTTCATGATAACTGACGCTGATGCTTAAAATTACTGGGTTTTTATTACTCTCTAGAATTAATTATAAGGATGGATCATTTTCAAATTATAAATTGGATTTTCATCTGTCGCTGGATGTCTGCCTATTGTTTAAATCAGTCCTAGTACAATCTTGATACTTTACCACAAGTAAGCAGCTTGCAGTTACATTTGTTTTCCAAATTGTTGTGCCTCCCCGCGGAGCTCCAAATATCTACCGCAATTAAATTACACTAACTCGGTGCAATTTTATATTGCTTGCATATATTTCAGTTCAAATTTAAGGCAGGCATGCACACTTACTGATACCAGCACGAAATATTGTACTCTATTATTTCTCCGAGTATATAAAAAGGACTGTGTTGCTTATTTAAAGCCAACTATACACATGCTGTTCTTTTACAGCAAAACTTTTTTTTTTAATACAGTCTTTATAAAGAAGGAGAAACGGTTGTAGGTGAATATTTATTTTTTACTTGTTATTATTATTTTTAATGTGTATTTTGTTAGTTAATATTTGTAGTTTCTTTAATTTTGAGAATAAGATTTTTTTTTTGTTTTATTCAAATAATGTTACATAAAATATAAAAAATGTTTTTTAATGCTGTTTAAAAAAATTGAAATTACTTTCTACTTTGTAGGAAATATTTTCAAGCTGCTTACTACTATCTTGACGATCCACCTCGCAAACGAACAACTTCAGAAACATCTAAAACCTTTGGTAAATATATATAAACTTTGTAGATAATTTTGATACTAAATGCCATCATTTGCGTTTTATTATGGGAAGACATATAAGTTGTAAAATTGGAATTAAAACCAGAACTTTTTAATTACTCTTTTAACAAATACAAGTGTGAAATAAACTGTAAACAAGTATTCACATTATAATAAAGTAAAAATGGAATTATTTTTACAGATAGCAACAAATTAAACTTTTATATTAAAAAGTATCGATACTGTAACCTTTATTTGTTGAACTGAAAATAACACTTTGACATGTAATTCTTTCATCATCACATTATACTGCTTACATTTTAAAGCCAAATTAGAAAGGCATTTGCACACTGCAAACGTTAAAAACTAGATTTTCCTGATAATAATTATAACTTTACTCTACTCTTCACTCTTAATTTCTATATTCTTTCGATGCTCTTTCTCTAATTTCTACCATTTTTTTCTGCATCCTGTTTCATTGCTGTGTAATTTCTGTTTCTCTGTGTCTGTGCTATTTGTTGTACTAACATCATTTTTATTCTGTTACTTTTAATTGAAATATTCTCAATATTTTTCTGTTTAATTAAAGTCACATCCAGTACAGGTTATGAGTCCAGTAGCCAAGACACAGAAGTAAACAAAAGTGAGTGGCTTCTGTTTTAAGTGATTAGGCTTAGTAGATGTTGACAAAACCCACTTATCTGTTTTAAGTGATTAAAACTTAGTATTTCTTGATACACTGTGTCCATAAAGTACTACTAGGCTTAATAGCTGTTGACAAAACCCACTTATCTGGTTTAAGAGATTAAAACTTAGTATTTCATCACATATTTCTTGATACACTGTGTCCATAACGTATTTACACAACCTTTATTTTCATAACCGTTGGTCGTAGACATAAAATACTTGAATTAAGATGCTTTCAGTAAGGAAAATAACTAAATTAAGGCACTTTTAAATTTTTTTTAAAAATTATAGTTTTCCATACCATCCTTAGACCTTATATGTATTTAGTAAAAATTTAGATTGATTTAAAAAGTAATTCACAGAAAGTTTGATTCCCATTCAATAAACATTGATTGGAGTATTTAAAGTTTTAAGATCTTGTTTTCTGAAAATTCAAATTCAGTTTGTACACAATTTGAAAAGCGAAATTTTAAAATTTGTATATAAATTAAAATGAAGCATCAGTTCAGAAAAAGGTTTCCAGTGTTAACAGACAAAAGTGCAAGCACTGCTTTGCAGATTGTCGTGATACTCTTTTTTATGTCGTTCAATTTTGCATTGTGTGATTTGTTTATGGTCACGCCAGAGATTATATTTTGATGATTCATTAAATAAAATTTTAATCTTAATTTTTATTAGCATCTTTAACGGCATTACAATATTGTATAAAAAATTTCATGACCTTATATTATTATATTGCAATATTATTTTATTTTAAACTACTTTAAATTTGTTAAGTTTTAATTCTCATTTTATGATAATTTTTAATTCTCAATTTTTTATTTATTTCGTGAATTATTTAATAGTTATCTCTTGATTACATATAAATGGCAGCAGCTCAAAGCTACGACGTGAAAGCTTTTGTAAGAAGATATTCAATCACCACACAGCGTTAACAAGCTCTGATTTATGATTCTCGGGCATTACGAAAGTATGATATGAGCATTAATTTAATTAATTTTTACTTTCGCCCATACCAAGTTTTCATTTAATACTAGTGAAACTTATAAAAAATGCGCATCTTTCAACATACCTGAAAGACGAAAATAGCAATTTTTAAAGAAGGAAATAAAAGTCACTTCGTTCACAGTTTTTCTAACATTTACTTTGTTAGGTTTATCTTTTGTCCGTTAAGGTGGGGAGATGGAAATTTTGTCTGTTGTTCTTTGGTATTGTGCATTTGGCACACTGATAATTAAATTATTAGTGTGGAGAATGAAGAAGCTCTAAATGCTTTGGTAAATCAGTAATTAGACTTTAAAAATATTTAAGCTATTCTTAATAAGAAGAGCTTCTTTGAAGTCTAAAGTTTTGTATATTTGCTTAAGAAAATTGCATATCAAACTGTCAATTTCAAGTAATACTCTTACGCAGCTATCAAAGCAGCTTTTAAGATGTAGCTGTATACTCAACCAATAAAACCAGAGCATGGAATCGCATATTCGTGTGTTGTAGTTAAGTGAAAAATGCAATATGCTGGCGAAGTTCCAAATGTCACAGTAACCGAGATTTGAAAATAAGAAAGGAGCATAAATTACCACGCTCCAATTTTCATACAGGCATAAGTTTGCGCGTCATTACAGCTCTGCTCTTGCTATAGTAAAGAGCATTAATTGATGTGTCTTTTATTTCTTATTGTTTACAGAGTTGCACAAATTTTCTTCGAACTTAACTTACATTAACTTCACTCTTATTTATAAAGTTTGCGATACAGTTCTTCTATATCCTATTCTTAAGAATATTTAATATCTGTACCCAATAGGGTTTCTTTTGAACTTATTAAATTAGAACTGTAAAGCATTGCTTTAGACAACATATCCAAAAGGAAAAATCTTGGAACTTTCTTATGGTATATTCTGGTTTGCCAGCCATATAGATTTCTGTATATTTATATGTACTGCTTTAAGTCCGCATTCATCTGGATTAGTTATAACCATTTCACGCTTTTAAATCTCTCACAGGATCACTGATCCAGTATCAGCTCTATTATTATGAGTTGTTCCAAAAGGAGTGTGAATCATATAATCCAGATTTTTATATCAAATAAAGTATAATCATCCAAATACATGATCTTGTCAAAACGATCTTAGGATTAATTAAAAATAACTTTCTTTTGAGTAGCCGTTATAAACATCAGGGTTACATACATCAGATAAATGATATTTAGATGGTTTCTTGTGTCTTTTCCCCCATGTTTAGCACTGATACTTCACTTGGAAACTCTTTATTGAAAGGCTTCTCGAGATAGATAACTTCTGCTTGCTTTGCTTCATTCTATACTGATTTAATTACAATTTAGCAATAAAAAGTGTTTTTAGTGTCGTATGACATAATTCTATTATAATCATTATAAGGTGCTACTTCTACTATAATCAATTTCAAGTCATTGAGCAATAAATAATTATTAAGCATATTAACATAAAATCGGTCTCTATCAGGCTCTCTTACCACATAATTGATTCAGAACTGCCATAATTTGAATAACTCACCTGTTAAAATTTACCTCGCATTTTACATAGTGACAAAATCTTCACAATGTGGAGTTTTTTTGTATCAAACAGCGTATCTATAGTAAACACTAAACTTTTGGTGCCTGAATTGGCATAGGCTTAGTTAATTATTCAAAATTTTATTAAGTAATATATTAAATAAAAAGTCCTGGTATCTGTTGATTTAAAATAATTGGAAATAATTAATTGTCATTTTTGTAGCTGGAATTTTGACCTTTAGCGCTGAAATTGTAATCGCTTTTCTTAAGAGGCTTGGCCAGCTTTTGTGTTGTACAGTGCGCGCCGCTTAATGTGATCGCGTTTTCCCACGATTATTTTAATAAAATTGAAAGACGAGAAATAACATCTTTCAGAGCAGCATTGGAACTAATTTAATATTAATACAAGCAGAAACATCTAAATAAGTTTGCTTATGAACTGTTAATAATTTTTCTGGAAATTATTTAACGGATGTTTTACTCCTAATCTCAATACTGGGAGGGCATCCCTCGTGCACTAGAACAAGAGTATCCAACCTGTGGCCCAAAGCAACTATCAGTGCGGCCCAAGAAGCGAGCGCGAAGCGCAAAAGAAATATCAAGCATCAACCCCGATGATACATTTTTTAATGTTGCGATCGGGGTTCGAGGCGGCTTTCACCATTGAATGCACGGGTTATTTGATGCTCCGAGTAGGAGCGAAATGTGTTTTGAGTGGAGTGGTGGTTTCAAATTTTCTTGTGACTTGTGCTCGAAGTTATTATCTTCATTTTGATACATTATTTGGTGTTTGCACGTATCACCAAGGTGAGGATGTCAAGATTAATGTTTCCAGCTTTTCTCGTCTTCAAGCTACAATGGATAGCGATTCAGGCTACTATCGATGTTACATTTTCAAGTTGTGTTTAAAGTGGTGTGGTCTCCAATCCTATTTTACTTTTGAAATTTTCGGAAAAATAATCAAAATGTTTGTATTTTACGACTCCATTTACAGTCAATATAGATGTTCTGAAAGGAAATTTTCAAGCAGAATGCATAGATTTGCAATCTGACATTCAACTTCAGGCAGGGGCGTAGCTACAGGGGGGCAAGGGGGGACATGTGTCCCCGGACGCAGAATCGAAGGGGCGCCAAATTGATGTTACGACATTTTAGAATTCAATGTTTTCCATTTTTGGCAAGCAGTAGGGGGCACGAAATCTTCAGTTGCCCCTGGGCGCTGAAAACCCTAGCTACGACTCTGATTTCAGGAAAAATTTGATCATGTCTCTTTGTTGGACTTTTATAAATCATACTTGTTCAGAGACAAATACGCCTCCCTGTACAATCATGCGTTCTTCATGTCATCATCATTTAGCAGCACGTACATTTGTGAACTACTAATTTCAAGAGTGAAGCCCACTGAGAGAAGAATTAGGACCAGAATATCGGATGAACACCTTGAGAGTTCCTTGAAAACTAAACCACTTCAATCGAACTAGACAACGATGCATTAGTTTCTCGAATTCTTGGCCAAATATGATATTAATTCTATGACTTCGAGTTGAACATAAAATTTATTATGAAATATTATGTATAAATTGTCAAATACAAGGTCAAAATAATTCGAAGTTCCTGTCATTATATTTTAAAAAATCAAAAATAATAAAATTTTAAATTACTTAATTTTTTTTTCTTATCAGACCATCGTTAGTATCAGGTATTGGTGGCCCGACATATAAATCAAGTTAATCACTGATTCATTAAAAATTTTTCTTTGTATACGCTTTCTTATATTGAGCAAAACGCGGTCAAACCGTACATTTCGCTCTTAGAGATCAAATTCAAAAAAATTCTTCCAATAGTCAAATATGAACACACCCGAAAATTTTCGATGAAATATACGCCATTGTGTGATTCACTTATTTTGGAGGTCACGAGCTGCTCCTGGTGTTAGAAATAATTTGTATGGCTCAAAATATCTCGCCTTCATGCATTGTGGCTGACTGAAGCTAAAAGGCTGAACACCTCTGTACTAAAAGAAAACATGTAAATGTAAAATTTAAAATTAAGCAAAGAATTATCCTGAGTTTGGCGTAGATGTTTTCAGGGGATTTTTCCAGGAGCAGGAAAAGAAATTCTTCAGACGTTCTTTTGTTTCTGAAGAACAGGAACCTGTGTCGGATCAGCCTCAAAATCGATGAGGTTATTCAAAATTTTTGCCAAACTAATTCTTGCATAATTTTAAATATTTGTCTAAATTTAATCCCTTACTTGGCAGTATTTTTCTGCCATTTTTCAATTTTTATAGTCTCTTTTGACTGTATTTGTAAAAAAATTATTCTGTAATACTTTGGTAATATTAACAGAATTGTTGATCCCAATAAGCGATGTACTTTTCATATTTTCGTATAAAAATGAATGATATTCTGGTAAGAAAATTAACCACGATCGCATTAAGCAGCGTTTATTGTATTTATTTTCTTGTACGCAATTGTGCCTTTAATAAAACCATTACAAGATTTTATTAAAACAACAATGGATATAATACTCTAATTAAGGTACATCCTTTGATAAACTTTTAAATTCCAAACTGCAAGATCTTGCTTCTCTGAGGTCCCAGAAATTAGTGAAAATATTATTTCAATCAGTTTGCATTTGCAATCAGCCAATGCATTTGTAGAGTCATTTGTTGAGTCAGGAAACATGGAAAATTTTGCAATTCCCTCGCCTTGATTTCAGTTCCCTACCTCTCTGATTGTTAACCCGATGTGCCTTCCAAATCGTGGCCTTCGAGATTAGATGGCCTGGTCAGCTGCAGAATCACGTGATTTGACGTCACGTAAGGCGTCTGAACTTTCACCCTTCGCACTGCATTGTGTGGACACTGCAAGCGAAGACTTCTTATTACGTTGATTGCGTGCTGTATATTTTTATTATTCGTGTGTTTTTTATTGCTAAATTTAAGTAATGTTGTTAAGGATATTTTCGTTTTTAAATTGAGATTACTAGTTAACTTATTTGTTAACAAGAATAACGATCGATGTCTACGTAGAGCTGTCTTCATCATGCCTGCACGATGTTGCGTTCCAGCATGCAAATCCAATTACGATGGCACTAATGAATATGTATCAGTATTCAAATTTCCAAAAGATACAGTAAAACGGGATTTATGGATCAAAAAAATTCCAAGGAAAAATTTTATTTCAAGTGCTCGCAGCGTTGTGTATGAAAAACATTTCGAAAAGATGATATTATTCGCTATGATTATTTACCAACAAACGAAGGTACTTTTATTCAGATGTGTAGAGGGCATCCTAAATTAAATAACGATGCTTACCGATGCATTTTTTTCTGGTTGTCCAAAATACTTATCTGAAAGTCCAACCCCTCAAAGGATGAGCAGGGAGGAAAAAAGAGCTAAGATGGAGAAGCATATTTTAATGAATTTTGAGAAAGGACAAAATAGCATCATTTGAGGATTTTTCTTCTATGTTACCAAATAAATTAAATATTTCAGATACTTCAAATATATTTTACATAAATCTGTTGCTGGTATTTATATTTTATTGCTCAGTTTCATCCATATCCTAAAATTGAGAAAAGTATCTTTGCATCGCTTCATATAGATATAGCAGTTTATCTAGGAGATAAAGTTGTTCCAGTTGAAAGTAAGAAGAAACCAGTAAGTTGAACAGCATTCTTTGCTGGTCAAACTTACCGAGATATATGTACAAAACATTAACATGTTTGATGTTCATGAAACTTGTTTAATGTGTGGAATTCCCTTTTCTAGCAGATTTCAAAAAAAAATAATGAGCACCATTTCAAAATATTTGATTAAACAATTATACTAAAGTTCTTCAAAATAATATGCATTCAAAAACCGATGAAAGGAAACTTAAAAAAGTCAAGAATACTTGATGAAGACGAAGATGATGAGTGTATGTAAAGTGACTTTGTTTTATTTTTTTAATTTGAAATAGTAGTACTAAATATGATGCAGTTCAGATATATTTTCAATAATGTATCTTTTACATTTTAAATGTATTAATCCTTTTGCTCTTTTCCTTATTATTTGATAATACCTCCATAATTTTTTCAAAATAAATTATCAATTGCGATTAATTATTGCTTCAGTATACTAGTACAACTTGCACAGTATTTGCTTAATTAGACAGAATGATGGTTTGTTCTGTGTATAGTTGTTTTGAGATTTTCGTTTAGCAAATTTAATTGATTTTACGCTTTTATGAAACATTATATGGATGGCTTTTTATTTGTAAATATTATTTATTATGCATCTACATCTACTAATAATGTAAATATTATTAAATGATGTAAATTATTATAATTATTGCTATAGATAACATATAATATGTGAAAATTATCGTTTCTGTAATGTTGCAGCAAATGTAATTTTATTTAATTTCAAAGTTTTGAGATTTAAATTTTTTGTGGCTTTTGTTCATTTTATTAGATAGTAATTAAATGAATTAAAATACATTTGCATAATGTTTGGAAGCTCTGAAAATATTTATAGTTTAAGGAAAAATTATTTTATGTCTTTTAATTTGCTTAATTTATATTACTTTTGTTAGTGTTAGTGAATTATTTCTAAATCTTTTCATTCCTTTCATTCTCTCCTTCTCAAAATTTTTATGTTAATAAATAACAGCCCTTTTTATTTACTTATTTCAAAAACTATCTTTTTGAGGTATCCTAACAAATTATTACAATACAGTGTAAAAAAAAAAAAAAATGCACAAGATAACTAAAACATGGCATAGAAAATTTCGGAATATCTCTTAAAAATAATATTTATTAAGTATTAATCTTAACTGCCAAATGAATATACGACCTTTCATATACGTTTTCAAGTCTCTGAAAATTTAGTTATTATGCATTATTAAAAACAAAAAACTCTAAACATCGAACGAAACGCTCGCATTCAAATCTGAAGCAAAGAAAGTCACTGAAGGATCGGACGCCTTTCGTGACGTCACTCGTAGCTAACCAGGCCATGTTATCTCGAAGGCCACGTCCAAATACATCTCAAGGTCACGTGATTGAGGGAGGGGAATGCATTACACGTTCTAGAAATATTCAATTTCCTTGCTTCAGTATAGGAAACGACTTATGATAATTACAAAACCACTATCAATGCTTTGCATTCTTTTGAAAAAGAAATTTATTCTAAGAATAATTAATCTTTTAGTACTTACTTATGTGAAGAATGTTCATTTATGTTGCATCTCTAAAATACGTTATAAGAATTCTTGTTTCCGTTTTCACATGTGAAATTTCGAGTTTCCTTGGCACAATCTTAGTTCTTGTACTGATAGACTTTCTCTTCACAAAATAAGTAATTAAGAAGAATAATAATTGTAATAATATAGTTTTTATGAAACTTATTTCAAAATATGCTCAGTAATAGAAATTTGAATCTAGAATGCCCAAAACTATTTTCATAGGTAGCGTTTTGTCTGCATCGTCCAATAAAATTATTATTTGTCTGATCCTGATATTTTTCTTTCTTTTTTTAATTTTTTATTATATACTTTTTAGAATATTAGAATATTATTATGTTACATTCATCTTTGATTCATTTACTCTAGGAATCAATGATAGCACTTCTGTACATGTCTCAGTGTGGCCAGATCATGTTTGTAGTCTTCATGCTGATGGTGACATAGGTTTTTCTAAGGAATATGAGGTAATCAAGTTTAAATATATAGAATAAAACTAATTTTGGACATGGATTTTTTATAAATTTTTAAAATATGAACGAATTAATTTTTCAGCAATGTTTGAAGTCATTTAAATTGTTTCAAATGATTGTTTTTAAATAATTTAAGTAAAAGGAAATATTAAATCAAAAACCAAAACCCAGAAAATGCACTGTATAATTCAGTGGTAATAATTGCAACAATGAAAACATAATTCTAACATCATATTAAATTTGGAATAATGATTTAGTATAGATAGCAAAATTACGAATGCAAACAACCGTTGAGCTAAAGGGGGGAGATGCTGTTTCTGAACTGGCAAATGCACAAATGTAAAAAATTGATTTTAAATCAGGAAGAACATAAATTAGATCAATATGTAATTAATATTAAATAAATAACAGTCTAACACCCACAGACTGGGGTCAAAAAGTTCACGTTGCTCATATTTAATTAAAATAATTTAAATAGCCTACCAAAAATTAAAAAAAAGCCAAAATAGAAAACGCAGTCCGAAGAATATTTTAATATTTATGATATTTTTGTAAATGTGATAAATACTGTTACTTGGAATGTGACTAATTTTCACCAGTAGCATTTGTATGGATTTTGTTTTTGCAGTGCGTTGCTTTTTGCTACGTGTGCCAAATCATTATTCCAAACTGAAATTGATATTTGAATTTGCTTAGATTATACATGTTTTGATTTTTCTAATTATATACACACACACACATGTTTATATACGCATATATATATATATATATATAATATATTGGGATATCAAAATATTACAGATACCCTCCTAATAACGCTATTGTCCACTTTTAGCTTTGATATCAGCTGATATTCTAGGCCCGCACTCAGAAACGTGCTAATATTGGTCCTGAAGAATGCTGACAAAATGGTAGCTGTAATTTTTTTTTTTTTTTTTTTTTATATTCGATGATGGATTTTTCCCACTTCGTCCCATAAATCTGAGTACGATTGAGGTCAACAGAGCTTGGCGAACCGAGCCTGTGATAAAAGCAATTTACATGAAAGCAAATCCACATTGTTCTCTGTTCTCTTTAAATCAGTTTGAGATCAGTCAAGCAGACTGACAAGAACACTGTCTGCTGAAAATGACCATCTACATTAGGGAGTATCACAATCATAAAACCTTGCATGAACAATACTTGATCGTCAGTGACATTGAGGTAAAATGTAAACTTGTTTATTATTATTAATCTTATAATAATTACGGCTTTACTAAATTATAATGTCTTCGTTTTATTTATTTATTTATTTTTTGAAACTGTACATCTGTCAATCAACCAAACGTTATATCGGAATTTTGTGCGCACGGGAAAGCAGGTGTTAAGTAGCTTTTTGAAAACTGGTGCAGCAGTAAGACCATCCAAGAATTTCAGAAATATTTTAATGCAAAATCTTATATGTGGCCGCTGCAAGATCATGAGAAGACTTGTCTGCAGATAGTTTTAAAAATGTTTATCATCATTTATATCCAGTTACCAAATCTCATGACGATCATAAGAGCGGCACGTCTGAAGGTTTTAGGATAGTAGAAGAGCGAAATTTTCCAGTGAATGGAATATAAGAAGAAATGCAAAATGAAGATGATATAATAAATTCTTGCGATGGCAATGCCTCAATCATGATTCAATTAACAGAACGGCAAATGTCTGTAATTTGATTTTAAATCCTAGAAATATCGCCATTTTAATTTCACGTGGTAGTGATTCGGAATAAGTCCTTCTTTATTGCAAAATACCTCTTTCTTTAAGAAATATTACTGAAGAATATTTTTAATTTTATAATTTCTACATGTTATCTTAGTATATTTAAACTGATGATCTAAAATCCAGAAATTTCCGAAATCCGGAATCGCTGAAGTCTCGACGATTCCGGACCTCGGATTTCGCACTGTATGTAACGGTACTTGTCGTGTCCAGGGAATGCATTTAAAGCAGCAGATTTCTTTCTGAAACCAGTATGCTACATTTAAATAATCATATGCATTTAACATTTGAGAAACATTTAAAAATATGGAAATAAAGATTAAAGCACGTCTTGGCTACAATGTGTCTTTCACCTACTGGCAACTTTCCTCAGTTCAGAATTGAAGACTCAGGTGCAAATTCGTCACTTATATCAGGCTCCTGGGCATAGGCCTCATCCTGGATAGAACAGCGTAGCACTGACATGACTATTGGTACCATAACATGACAAAATTCATGGCTGAGAAAAAATTTCTCGATGTGCGCGTTAAAAAGAGTCTTTCGTATCTTCAGTTACTCTGCATACCTATATTGATGGGAATAACTTCAATAATGCCATTTCATGTGACGCGTTCTAAACCTAAACCTCTGTTTCACAGCTGGTGTCAATTACTATGGATTTTTACCAGTTCGATCAAAATATGCTGTGTAAGGCCATTCGCGGTAGTTTGGATTTGAAGGTGTAAAAACACCCCGCCCGAAGGCGAAAAAGAAGGACTTTAGATGTGCAATCTGTTGCAGGTTGTCCGTTGGTGGCAAAAGTCAAGTGCAGGTCATATACGAGGAAGTTCAGAGTTCAGCGGTAAAAAGAAAACCGAGTTCTGTGATGAATTACCTAGTATTTCGGTCAAGTTAGCAGTTAATCATCGGATTCCGCGAATTTCATCAGTTGTAGTGCTGCCTGAAAACCAGCTGCAAACTTCTCTGCAGTATTTTTTGCTGCTTTAATTTTCTGAATGCTTCCTTCAATCGTACTCAGGAAATTTCTTATTTTCTTGTCCTGCAGCCATGACACTGCTTCCGTCATCTCTTCTGGTGGGGGCTTTAGACTGGCTTTTACTTTGTCACTGTATTTGTAGCTCGGCACTTTCTTTTCGGCAGATTCCTGACTTTGGATGAGCTTTGGAAAGTCCGCTGCTTTGTGAGTACAGGTTCCTTCACTTTTTGTATGGACTTCTTCCTCTCGAAGAGTTTCTTGTATGCCTCACATCCTCTGTAGGAACGTACATGCGATTGCTTGCAAAAAATGCATGTCGGCTTCTCGTCTTCCTTCAGCGGGCTAAGCTTGCTCATATGCGCTTGTCCGCACTTGCAACAACGTTCAGCATTGGGAAATTAGCTTTAGTAGTAAAAATTTATACAAGGTAGAAAATATTGTAAGAAATAGCAGGGTAGATTAAATCAAGGGATGGGTGCCATTACTCTGACGCGCTGGCGATTTCACTCATGATTTAAAAAAACATAAACATTTTATCCGTTGCATCAGTGAGCGCAATAAACTTGGGTAGGTATTTCTTAATTATATTATTCATACTAGAAATGTTGTTGGGACCAAATATATCATTTAGCTCGGCTATATTCTTGACGAAATTTACAAAATCAGATACTTTGTTTTTATCGGTTGTATTAAGCATGGTATTTTTAGTGTTATTTCTAGCGTTGTTTTTAACTTTAGATTTAACATTAGAAGTACTATTTGTTTGACTTCTATTTTGTTCTTGAAGTACTATTTGTTTTGTTGTTTGACTTCTGAATTAGAAGTACTAGTTTCATTCTAATTAATATCGTTCTATGCAGCAGAAGATGACTGGGACACCTTTTCAGTCAGTGTAAGGGTATGATTCTCAGTTTGATGCCTTGCCATTTCTGCAAAGAAAAGTCCATTTCTAACCAGGTTATCTTTTCTTGGCTGAGAAGTCTTTTTTCTTGGGAATCGAGGGCATCCACGATAGGACGCTGTGTGATTTTGAAAACAGTTGCTGCACTTGAGATTTTCAATCCGGCCGGGCGTAAGGCAGTCCTTAGTTTTATGATTGAGAGAGCATTTCACACAGCGACGAGCGAAGAAACCGACTTTATATAAGAATATTTTACTATGAAACTCGCCACTGCGTCGTGCCGCGACAAGCATCTGATATGCGAAGACTTTGTATGCGAATTACCATCCACACACACTTACACACTCCTATATTTATATATTCAAAAATTAAATCGAATATTTAAACTCAGTATATATACATATATTCAGCTTGGAATAAACAGCTGATAAATAATCAAATATTCAGCAAATGTAATAAACCATTTAAAAAAAATAAGGAAACGTGTCCAGTTTTGAAATTCACTAAGCGTACAAATGCAAAAATAGTAGCGCTAAAAATAAAAATAGTGATAGTGAAAACAATAGTAATAAAGGTAGTGCAAAACATTTAAGAATGTACATCCCCTGGTACATCCTCTTGAGCAGGTTGGTATATCGGGAGATCGATAAATAGATTAGCCGGCTTCTGAAATGATAATGACACAAATTTACGAAATTTAGAACTTTAATAAACCACAAACAAATTTGTTTCTTAATCAGTCTAACCCCTTACAGATTGTAATGAAAAAGACATGCTACAAAAATTCATACAAAACTAAAATCCACTTAGATTCAGAATTGCAGAAACAGCACCAAAACCATCCTTTTGATTAAATAAATGCAATACAAATCAAACCAAGCAGAATTATTCGTTCAACAAATATAAAAACAGTAAAAATTGTAGCCTGTTGAAATCAAATTATTCGTCCTAAAACCAGTAATTAAAGTTAAATATTGTGTCAAAAATTAACAACTGAAATACATTAAGTAAATAAGCTGTATAAGAACCTATGCAAACATTTAAATACACGTGCAGTCAAGCACTGGAATGGGCTAACCCTAACATATTAAAAGATGCAATAGTATTTTAAGGGGTGTTGGGACCCCAAAAATCTTCAAAAAATTGTGATTTCGGATTTTTGCATTTTTCAGATTCTCTACACTTTTATCTTTCTAACAATACCATTCTTTAATCTCTATGAAAGTTAGAACTGTAAAAAAATCTAGTTTTAATTTGTCATCTACTGCTCTGATCAATGAGGATTTTTACATAAAAACGCGTTTTTCTCCAAACGTGATTTTTTTATACTCGATGTACCTTTTCTCAGGAACTACTGCTCACAGGTATCTAAACTTTTTATGGCTTATTTATTAGGTTCCCTAATATTTACTGAAATGAGCTTTTTGTAATTAACTTAGAAAAAAAAAATTAATTTTTTTGTGTGAGAAAAATGCTAAACTTTACTATGCCTAACAAAATATTTTGTAATTCACTCTAAAATTCAAAATGCTTCAAAAGCTCATTTCAGTATAATCAGACAGGTATACTTTTAATTACAGAAAAAATTTCAAGCTTGTATCTACAGCAGATTTTGAGAAAAGATACATCGAAAATGGCCAATTTAACATTGTCGGTATAGGGGCTTCTGATACCCCTTAAGCGGATCGTTTAAATAAATGATACTTTAATAATAACCCTTCTTTAGAAAAAATAGCTTTTCTTAATAAAATAACCTTTTTTTTAGCAAAATTAATCTTTAATGTGGTGTAGTTCATAAATTTAATACTTTAAAAGAAGAATAGAAGTTAGTTTACCTTTCATTTGCAGCAATTTAGAAGGTAATAGTTTTAATCCAAGCAATATATTCAGCTAAGAGATTCAACTGATTCGGGAATTTTAATACAAAATGTACTGGTAGTATTTAATCCTAAAAATAAAAAGCAAGAAAACGAAATATGTTGTTTCCATTCCAGACCACAGATTTTTACTCAAGCGGGCTACCTCGAAATTGCGAACTTGAAATAAGTTAATGCATACTACTTTTTGCTAATAATGGAAATGGACCTTTTTATTAATAATGGAAAACCTATTCAAAATTATTACAAACTGTAAGACTTTTGATAAGAATATCTAATTCTACTGTGTTAAAATATCCAGTCTATAAGGAACAGATAAAATATATAGAAATAATATCAACCCAGTAGCAAACGTTCTAATATGAAAGCAAAAATTAGAGCAATTAAATCAAAAACTTAAAAAATTTCCCATAATATTAAATAATAGTTTTCTAACACAACCATGTATATGCATGGATAGGAAGCATTCACTAATCGCATCTAACATAATTATTATTTTTTTATGATGCATTCTGTTTTTATCGAATGTATTTTTGTAAAGTAAGTAAAATATTTTAGTTTCAAAATTTTTCCTAAATATTTTAAATTATCTAAATTTTATAAAAATTTGTAATTTTTATTATTTGTTTTTCTTTTTTCCTTGCATATCATTTGTATTATAATCTTCTACTGTTGTAAATTTGAATTAAATGTACTCTTTCAGGCTATTCAACAGTCTACGGATTTGGAACTTTCTTCTGAATGTTCTCAGCTGGTTGAAAACAAAAATAAAAACAGATATGTTAATATTGTTGCTTGTGAGTATTTAGGCTAAGGGAAGAAAAAGAATTATTTGAATTTATCTTGAGCTTGCATTGATAATTTAATGTATTGAAAGAATTTTATTATTAAACAAATTGCCTCTTTACAAAATCGATCGCTTTACAAAATTGATAAAGTAAACAGGAGTAATTTTTGAGAAAATTATATGTTTAAAAACATTCTTGCTTTTAAATTGTTATTCCATCATTTCTCTCTATTTTAGAAGTGGTCTAAATAATATTTTTAATAAAACTGCTTATAAATCTGTTAATAGAACTGTAACAAACTGAGTTCATTATTACAATCAGTAATTTACAAAAATATTACTTCTTGGTTTGTTGACAGAGGTTAGTGATGTTCCACAAAGTTTTCATCTTATATTCTTCAATTGCAGTTTTTTTAATTGTAATTTAATAAAGTCTTTTAAATTATTCAGATTTATATCAATATTTATCTAATTATTTTTAGACGATCACAGCCGAGTTGTGTTGAAAACTCTGCCTGGGCAGAAAAAAATAGCTGATTACATAAATGCCAACTATATTGATGTAAGTGTAATATATTATACATAATATTTTATGTGAAAAAATGGCGACTTTTAGCTTTTGAAGCAATTAACGTGTTTCATATTTTGAATTGTGAATTGTGATTAAACACATACAGCATCACAATATGTAATTAGTTTTTAAAGGGTTAAAAAATGCGTTTTTAACAATTAATAACTAGTATAAAATGCGCAATTTAATTATTAATAATAATTTCAAGTAATAAAATATTCATAAAATAATTTATAATAAATATTCTTAAAGTAATTTAATTATTTTATTTTTTGTTGCATATTATGTTCGTTTTAATTCTCTTTGATATGAAATTCCAAGTGCTCAGTATTCCGATAGTCCCAGAATGTGTATATGTTCCAAGTTATTACAATATAATTAATCGAAATCAAAATCATTCTCTAACAGGAAGTTTATTGAAGTAAAACGCATTCTGTAATTATTTTGAGAATGATGTACTTGTTGTTTGTCATTTTCTTTTGTTACTTTTGAATGCATCATAAGAGAAAAATCTGGTTGATTCTTTCTCACAAACTGAAATAGTAAAATGTTCTAGGGTTACAATGAGCCAAATGCGTATATAGGTACTCAAGGACCTTTACCATCAACATTTGATGATTACTGGAGAATGATTTGGGAGCAGAAGGTGTATATAATAATCATGATAACAAATCTTGTTGAAAGGGGTAGGGTGAGTAAATAATTACCTTTTATGTATTGAAATGTTATTATAACATAAGTAATTATTTGTTTTTGTTATTTTCTCTCTGTGTGTAAATTTTTGGTTACATTCTTAATTCTTTATGACAAGAAACACAAAAGTGAATATAAAAATTTGTGAGTAATCCCCTCCCCTTATAAATAATTTTTGATACGTAATCTTCAAGTTTAAAAAAAATGGATGAAAATTATGTTTTTACATTATATAACTTCCAGAAGAAACAATTATATCATCTCCTCCTTTATATATTCGTATATTTTGTCCTTGCTACTATTGGTTACTACAAATTTATATAGTTAGAGCTTTGTAGTGTTCAAGTTCATATTTATGGTGTTTGTATTCAAGTATAATGTGAATGTTTGTTGTGTGATTTGAAATCAGTTTAAAATTAATTTCAATCTGATCACGTGCAATACACGAATTTTGACCAATAGAAAATTATTTATTACTTAGACATCATATGAAATCGAATTTGTTATCATTTAAACATCATAATGTAAATAAGTTAAGTAACTTTAGTGATAGAGTGTATTTCAAAATTTGTAATTCTAAGCTGCCAACTCAGGTGATAAGATTAGTGATTCTGCTGATTAAAAAAAAAATCTGCAAACTAAACGATATTACTATAAATATTTCAATTCTATTATTAGCTATTGAATAAAACCCTACAATATTTAAATTAGAGACAGGGAGGGAGAGAGGGAGGACAGTATAAATGAGTAAACAAATTTTCTCTGTTTTTACAATATGTTTTGTACTGCTGTAAAAGTAGCTGCTAATGCAATGAAAATGGAGTCTTCAAAAGAAGACACTGACGTATATATTTTTCTTACCTTAGTGTTGATTTTTTTATGCACCATTTATATTTTATGCAGGAATTTTAATTATTTGTCAATTAAAGTAATTCAGTATTTTCTTTAGGAGGTTTTGAAAATGCATTTTGTTTTATTTTTGTTTTTTATTTTAGCATTTGCGATTGAATATATTTCTATTAATTATTACTCGGTCTTGATTTACTAGTAATTGATTAATACTATACTGAAATTTAATTTTTGTTGTTTTAATTGGAACTGCTATTAATTTAACAGGTTTTACTCAAAATATATTTGCGAGTCATTTTGATAAGTATAGGTGAAAGTAACAGGTGAAAGCAGGGCCAGACACTCGGACGGCATTGTAAATAATCGGGTGTGGTCCGGAACCGCATTTATCTACGGCAATGCCTTACTGGTTTCCCAGAGCGGCCGCAACAGATTTATTGAAAATTATTCAATGTTCATACATGATCATACAAGGACATCTACCGCACAAGGACTTGACAAAAGTTTATGAAATTGGCTGGCCAGTTGTAGAGACTATGCAATTGGTTGGTCAGTTGTATTGGTTGGTCAGACTTATGCAATTGAATGGTCAGTAGTATGTAACTAAATATTAAATTTACCACACATTTCTTAAAATTATACTGAGTCGTTATTAAACACACGCTGCACAAAATACTAAATATATCGTGTCTAGATACTAAATTCATGTTGCATAAAATACTAGTGACAATATTAAGTGCACATTACGTGATTAAATTGATACTGAAATTCTCGAAACACATAGTGTAAGATACTAAGACCTGAATAGATATTTCATAAAATACTATACACACATTGCATAAAGTTCTGAATTTGCATTGCATACTTGATAAACATTGCATAAATTTCTGAATATGCATTGCATACTTAATAAACATTGGATAAGTCATGAATGCACATTGCATAAAATGCATTAAATACTAAATTGACCACACATTGCATAGTTACAAAATTCACTTCGCACATAATACTAAATATATCCTGTATCGATACTAAATTCATGTTGCCTAGATTACTAGAGACAATACTAAATACACACTGCATGATTAAATTCTTATTGGCTAGCTAAAATACGTATTGCATAAGATACTGAGTACACGTTGGATAAGATACTATATGCTGAATACGTATGTAAAATCCTATGTAAGTATTTCATTAAAATACTAATACACATTCCATAAAATTCTGAATGCACTTTGCTTATTACAGAAGTACTAAATTCACGTTGCATAAAATACTAAGAATAATACTCACTACGCATTGCAACTCTAAATGCTAAGTGCAGAAATTCTAAATGCTGATTGCATATGATACTAAATAATAAATAAACTCATTGCCTAAGATACTAAATATTACAACATTACTCTTATGCATGCTTCACTTAACACAGGATACTGTTCTCTCTCTCTCTCTCTATTATATATATATATATATCACTCTACACAGTTCGCTACACCCAGAATGCATTATGTAATAAATTAGCATTTCGTTTTCTTTCATATTACACAACTGAGAATGCGACATATCATATTACAATACTAAAGTTATTAATTATATTAGATACCATATTGATGAATGCACTGAATACAGAATTCACTAGTAAATATAACATTTTAGTGCCTTTATGTTGCATAATTGCAGGGTACATGATATTGTAGCATTACATATACACTATATTGTACACTACTTTACAGTTTTACATATGCATTTTTTGCAATACTTACCTCGTTCTGCATACATGCACTTTTGCGCCCAACAGGTCAGTAGCTCTCACTGATGCATCAGTTCGTACTGCACAATTCTTGTCCTAGTGCCTCAAGCTTATTCAATATGCATATAACCTTTTTTGATAATTGCTGGTTGTTTTATGAAGAAACGTCTAAAGGGAAGATCTTCATTTGGCAGTAGTATGTGCCACTCCTCAATGACTGGACACGTCGTAACGTAGTGGTCGTGTGTGTCGATCTCACCACACTCACAGATATTAGAAGTGGAAATGGACTTGTTACAGACTCCCGTTAAATGAAATGAGTAAAAAAGCCAGCAGAGATGAGATAGCCTGTTCTAGGTTTGGAGATGAATTCGTTATTCCTACGAATTGATTCCCACTCCTCCTACCAGTGGCGAATTTCTCGTTTTAGATATGATTTTGGAAGCTGGATGGTGAGTCCCTGTGTGGCTTCTTTTGACAGCATATGTGCTTGCTCATTTCCCAGATGACCCACAAATGCCTATGAGATTTGAGCTTCAGAATGTTACTCATTTTGATAGTACAGTAGAACATTTATTGACAGGGCTTCTATTAACCGAGGTCTCTGTTAACCGAGTCAGCAATCAATTTAGTACCAGAATAACGGAAGCGGTCACAGGGTTCGTAGCGGTCCTTATAAGTGCTTATAAGTCCTTATATTTGAAAATAAAATATAAAGGCCCTTATAGGTGCTTACTTTTTCTTTAAAGCCCTTATTTTTGGTTTTTAGTGCTTATTTTTTGTTTTTAGTGCTTATTTTTTGTTTTTAGTGCTTATTTTTTGCTTTTAGTGCTTTTTTTTAATGAACGCGCTATTTTTCCCCGTACCAAAGCCGAAACTAAATAAACTACTTTTCTTCCTAATATGGAATGTCAGATGGTGAATCATACTCCCGGAAATAGCTTTTCCCCCTTTCTCTGCATTAACATAACCTTTGGTGTGCATGAAGAGTACAGACAGGTGCCCGTCGTACTATTGGTCAAAGAATTGCGAAAGCAGTAGAAAATTCCGGTACATTCGGCATTCTTTTCCTCCCACCCAAATACTACACACGTTTGAATTTCTATCAAGATCTTAATAATTTGCATTCTCGTTCCGCTTGGTCAGTTCATGTTCGTGTTTATTATGATCATTATGCTTATATTATGGGCATATATATGAATGTTTATAATTACATAGTTGCAGTAACTGCTGAAGTATAGTAAACTTCCAAAAATGGTTGTGGGATTGGGTTATTGGGAATTCAAATGGCAAAGCACACGAGGGAATCTAACTAAAAAGGAGGGAGGACTTTCTAAGGAAAACTGGCTCGTATACACGTTACACATGGGGAAAACCACGAAAACGCCCAAGCAGCCAGCCCGTTCGCGGGATTCGAACGTCAGACCGAACTACCAGTGTTCAGCGACTTTACCGCTCAGCCGCTGGTGGACTCGAATAATATTCGGAATGGCTTAAATAAAGGGAAAGTAATCGAATAGTCAAAATAATTTAATTTTTTTGGCCAATACATTATACAGTACGATGATTGGGAGGTTCTCCCTTTCTCCACAAAATCTCGAATTTTGAAACTGTTACAGTTCGCTGCAAAACAAGCAACGGACCCCTTTTTTTTTTTTTTTGTCACTTTCCAATCTGGATTGAATAGGACTAAAAGTTCCGCGGTCTACCAACCCAAGCGAAGAATGATTCTATTACGGAAATTTAACGCCGTCTGTTGAAAATTAGAATGAAAAACACCCCATTTATTTAGTTCTTTATTCTCCCAATACTGGCAGCTGTTGATTCCGATTGCGTAATATCACGTAAGGAAGAATTACGGCTCACGTATTGCGATATTTTGCAGAGATAATTAATTTTGATGTTCTGTCCGAGATTTGTTTATGAACACTTAAAAGAGTTTTACTGTGCTTGCTAAGCAGAATATTTTTTAGTTCCATTGGTTTATTTTTATATAATGCACATATCAAAATGTCTAAAGCATTTATTTAAAAATAAAAGTAATTATTTTCCATGGTTGAGGTAATGCTTATTCTCTCTTAATAAATACTGTATTTCTCATATTTTAAATTACAAGTCTAATTTTTAAGGTTATGCAGTCGTGTATAATGTAATTAGACAGGTGCTTATTTTTTTCCTTAAAATGTGCTTGAAAAGTGCTTATAAGTGCTTATTGTGCTTATAAGTGCTTATTTTTTTAACTAAAATGTGACTATGAACCCTGGGTCATTTTGTTCGCAAATAAGATTAAATTTCTCGTATTTTAAAAATTTTTTCTTTAAATATTTTGACTTTTCCAAAATATATGCCAAGATAACAAAATAACTTATTTGGCAGGCTTTAAATTATTAGTTTTTTTTCTTAAAATATGACTATATATACCTAGAGGTACGGCTAGCGGTCATTTTGACTGTTTTAGGATAACTTGGCAAGGTGAGCAGTGTCCTGACGCCATTTGTTTTGGTTTCTTTTTTATTTTCATAATTATTCGACGGCTTTTTGGAATCAGTGACATGTCGGGGTTTTATCAAGAGGGACTAGGTATAAAAAAAAAAAGATAATTTTTTAATAGTTAAAATAACAGGAATAATAATGCGTAATATGCTAGAGCAGTGTTTCGCAAATGGTTTTCCATGAGGGCTTGTAATTTAAAAAAATTAAAACTGAGGATTTCCACGTAAAATAAAAAAACTTTTAAAATTATAAATAACTATATCATCAAAATGTTATATGTTTATAATATATACAATTATTTATTTATATATAGTTTAATAGCAAAATAGTCTAGTTCTCTGTTTACATGCAGTTAACCATTTTGAATTTGAATAATATTCTACTGTGAAATGGCAGGTGTAATGCTACATTTTATTACTCATAGAAATATCTGGAGTAGGCATACCTCTGGGTGCTGAAACCTATTTAATGCTTCATTTCTTAGAAAAACAGAAAATGAAAATAATTGCGAATAAGCAAGAAAATATCTTTAAAAACCATTAAAAATTTATTTTAAATTTACAAAAACATAAGCATTACAAAATCTTGCAGCCAGTCCTTTTGTCGATATTTTAACCAGGGTCGAATAATATTCAGTGATTTCTTGGCTTGACCACTAGTAGGCGCTGAAACTTTAAGCCATGCTCTTTCATGTTCAGGGCAATGCCCTGATGAATACTTTGTTGATCAAAAACTGGTGTGATCGTGCTCTAGCTGGAGTTATAGGACTGTCACAAAAATGGTTACAGACTTTTTGTAAAACATTAATATTTCATAAAAATGTATGAAAGAAGTTTTACAAAATTTCTCAGTTTGCGTAGATTTTGATGGAGATACTGTTTATTCCAGTTTTTTTCATGAGTATCTTTATCGAAAAATAAAATATGGTTTGTATTTGCTTAATAGAAGGAAAGAAATTTTATCTAGTAATAAAAGCGTTTGTAGAAATGTTAACAATAGTACTTAATGCACATATGCTGCTAGCCATTAAAATTCTTCACCAGAAAGGAAAGCAATTAGCAAAATCTTATTTATTGTACAAAGTACAATGAGAGGAAGACAAGATTAAATTTTCAGGGGATTAGGGGTACACAATCTGCAGAATACTGTTCACAAAGCTCCACCTGTGGCAACAACAACGGCTGTGATCCGGCTGGGCGAGCATTGAGTCGTATTGAGCTTGAATGACAGTTATGATTACTTCATTCCATGCGGCTTCGATTCTTTGCCAAAGGTCATCAATCGTAGTGGCTAGCGCGTGGTCACATGCCAGTCTTTGGGAAATGCATGGTCAGATGGTCTCAATGGGTGAGAGATCTGAAGAAAATAATGACCAGAACAATACCTTCTGTATCAAGGAAGGTCAAGATAGCCCGGGCAACATGCGGCCGTGCATTATCTTATTGAAAGATGATGATGCGCAAGCCTAGAATATGAGGCCTTGACATGTCAGAAATGTAGCGGCGGATGCCGCTGTCCACACTAACCTGCTATTCGAGCATGTGGTAACCGGGATGTATACCCAATAGCATTCCATGCTAGACGCCCAATGCTAGCCCTACATGACGGTGACAAATGGAAGCTCATAACATTCTTTCTTCTCGGTTCCCTTGTAAGGATCTTAAGTTTTACTAACGTTTATTTTATTTTAAATCTTTACTATCACTTCTTATTTTCTACTTCCGGCCAGAATTAAAAGCGTTAACTTATTTATGCAAAATTTGTCTGGCGAACGCCAAGTACTTAAGTTGTGCCTTTTTGCCAAGCGAGAGAGAGGAAGGAGTTAGTCGAAGCAGGCCGCTTGCCTTAGAAGTTTTACTCGGTTGCTGTTTGCCTTCCAGGCCAGAGGTTTAATCCTCGTGATAATTTTAAGCGTATTGTAGTGTGTTAACAGTTCTCTGTACTACATACGGCTTCCTGTTAATATCCGGCCAATCTTACACGTAGGCCCTTGTTGATTATTCCAAATTTAGTTAGTTTTTTAGTTATATTTATATTCTTACGTTCAGACCACAAGTAGTTGGTCTCTGTATTCCGAAGTACGGAAATTATTGTAAAGAGTGAAAAATAAAGGCTTTTGTATACCCTTCCTGGGTATCTTGTCTACTTCCCACAGTTATTGAACATAGCTTTAGTAAGCTCCCTGTTCCGAGTCAGGTCCTTGCATGTTCCCAAAGAAAGTAAGACGGAACATTGAACCTGATATCCTCAGATGCGCATAACGTCCATCGTGATGCTGTGCGCAGAACTGGGATACGGAACACAGACTTGTGGTAAGCCGTTTTACAGTCTTTTCATATATGAGCCTTCGCCGCATATTAGTCGCAGATACTGACTTTTCAGTTGTAGGGTTACTGATGTTCTGGTAATGCTATTTAGTCCAATAACCCCAACAGATGTGAAGCGAATTATCGCTATGTCTGAAACAACGAATAAGTCGAGAAGGTTAAATAACCTTTTCACTTAAACCGAAAGCCGTTCTCTTGGCGCACAAAGCCCAAATTAAGTCAAACGTTTAACAGTAGTCAAGGACAACCCGATTAAATACTACTGTAAGTTGGCTCACTAACTGTACTGGAGCATAAGAATTAAAGTGTCAGCAGCGACAGAATGCACAGCCGAATAATTACTACTATCAGAGCTGGCAGGGCACTAACAGCGCAGTGCGCACGGAATGCCAGAAACACGCTCTGCCTAAAAATCCAAAAACATCTGTTTAAATACTGGCTACACATTTGTTTTCTGGTGAGAAAGATGGAAAGGGAAAGTTATAGTAAAGGTTGAAATTATAAATAGCTGGTTAATTAACACAAAATTCCCTACACAGTTACTGTAATAGCCCTTGTTCTTAGAATTGACCAGTAGCTCGTATTTAGCTCATAGTTAAGGCTTATCGTCAGAACTCTTAATGATAGGGTACATACTACCTTCAATTCCAAAACTTTCAAATCATTTTCAACGAGAAGTTACGGGGTGGTCAATACCCAAGCGAATAGTGACATCTTTAAAAGACTGCCATGTTTCAAGCCGGCCGACAGCACGCCAACGGTGAAATTCGTCTGATTATATTAGCTGAGTCCTAATAAAGTAACTAGAATTTTTATCAAATTTTTTTTTTATCAGCAATTGTACTTAACTACTCAAACGTTTCAGAAAGGCATGTCTTCTACCAAAACCTAATTTGCATATTTGCGGGTGAATCTGAATTGGTCATATATGGTATTTTCATATTTTCTTCTATTTTTCTATTTTCATATTTCATATTCCCAGCATGTTTTGCCAAATAGAACTGAAGCCGGCATTTCGAAGGTCTGAATATGCATCGCGTTCTTTTAGAAAGCAGCGTATAATTTTTACAGCTATTCCTTTGACATAAAAAGAATTTCAAATCCAGTCATTTTCAGCTTTCTTTATCCTTGTTATCAATGCGTATTAGAGGAACTCAAGTGCAAACACAGAAATCAAAATGTTATACATCTTGTATTTAATGAAATCTTGTATTGAAACCTATCAGACTACTTGATGCTTCAGCTTCAAAAAAAAAAAAAAAAAAATAAACAATCAACGGAAATTTATTAAGGAGACACACTCTTGATTAAAAAATATTATCGATAAAATGAATAGCAACGATTAGCAACATGCTGTTGTAAATTACTTTTAACTCCTAAGGAGTGCAAGCAACAGAAACCAGAAATTAAAATGATACTCGTATTGTTTCAACTTTAGACCAATGAAAAGTTTCCTGTTAGTCAGGAGGTCAGTTCAGAAAGAAGCAAAGCTGCAATAATCTTTGCTTTTCGGTTAGAAAATGAAACAATCTAAGAACTTTTAAAATGTTAATATTAATATTTCTAGCTAACTCATTAAAGAGTGAAAATTTTGAAACTTTCGTCAATTGTATAGTCACTGCTGTCAGTTATTATGTTTCGATTATAGTGTTGGTTATAGTGTGATTAAGAGTGTTGGACTTCATTTGTAATTGTAAATATTGTATTATAATACAAATTGCCCAGTTTGAAACATAATTGTTAAGAATCCAGTGCTTGTTTAGAGATACAATAGTTTGGATATTATAGCCAACTGTATTTCCATTAATGAAAAATATATTAAAATAATGTAATTTGTTTTTCAGAGAAAATGTGATATGTACTGGCCAAAAGAAGGAAGTGAAATTTTTGGAATAATTCAAGTGAAACTTATACAAGAAGTTGAGTTAGCTACATACACTATTCGCACATTTCTTATTCGAAATTTGAAAGTTAAGAAAGTAAGTCCTAATTTTAAACAAAAACATTCTACAAATTTCGTTTGTGGTTTTTGCTGCTGTTTCTTACTTGTTTAAATTATTGGTTTCCTCAGCTTTTTATATTACAAGTACTTTTTTTTTCTTTACTTACACTTATGTTAATACAAATCTTCTGAGTTCATAGTTTTAATAATATTTTATTCTTATAATTTTAATATTTTTAATGCGTCTGTGTACTTGGCAAATTGGTCATATATATTAATATTTCTAGCTAACTCATTAAAGAGTGAAATTGTCTCGCGATGAATTTTTATATCTAATTGCAAATCCATTTTCAATCACTTTTTTCCAAGCAACATAATTTTATTGAAGGAAGAAGATAATTTAAATCTTCAATCTATTGTTGAAAAAGGGAGGTTTGGTTATCACTTTAAGGTTTAAGAACTGACACCTTAATAGTTTATTCCTTTTTTTCCAAATCATTATTACCTTCTAATATGATAACAGTAATATTTAAAATTTTATGCCTATGGTTGAGTATGTTACATTGAATGGATGGTTTAAGAAGTTATACACTCATTAATTTCATTTACAAATTTAAATCTCATGCCTTTTGCAGATTTAATGTTTCTTTAACTAATATTGCATTATAGAATTTAGACTTTTAGTAATGCATGTAATGAATTATTAGAACATCACCAAAAGCAGTGAAAACTTAAATAATGTTTTTGATTTTTAACAGAAAACTTCATCCGAAAGAACTGTGTATCAGTATCATTACACGAACTGGCCTGATCATGGAGTTCCTGAGCATCCCTTGCCAGTTTTAAGTTTTATACGAAAATCAGCTTCGGCTAATCCTTCAGATGGAGGACCTATCATAGTCCATTGCAGGTTTGTTTTGTACTGTGATTATTTTTAATACATTTTTCATAAATAAATTGAATATTAGAATATAATAAATAATGTTATTTATTATTTTACATGACTATATGTATGCAGAAGAAATGTGGAATATCTATTAAATTCGGTATATTTGTAATAGAGCAAAGTAGGGTATTGTAAAGAAATTATTTATCGTTTAATGCTAAAATAAATTTATTTAATAAAGGTTATATTATGTTAATAAGCATGATAGTAGGATATTGCTCGTAACTCATGTGGCATATCAAAATTAATTTATGGAAAATAGATAATGTAGTTCAGTAGTATTGAATATATTTTTAAAGTTATTGATTGATTGAAGTCTAAGTTAAAATGCAATAAGAGTGTATTAGATTGTAGGATAAGGACTGAGGATATAATTACTTCAGAAACTGAAAATAGTTGTCAATTGTAAAGAACAAAACATCTAGCAGTTTTATGCCATTGTGCAGTAATTTATTTTGTTTCAGAGAACTGAGTGGAGATTTGCGAAAATGCTTTAGGGTAAAGCGTATGTAATAGTCAGTTATTTTGATTTATCTAGATTGATTCAATATAATTAATTTAACACAGTAAAAAATATCACCATTTTGTTGAAAATTTCAGTTACATAAATGCATCAAATATTTTATTCAGACAAGGTTAAAAAAATCTTTTAACATTTACGAAAATTTATTATGCCATCTTTTATGAAAACTGTTATTTGTATGATCATTATTTTACAAATAAAATATGTAAAATTGCATTTGAACAGTGCTGGTGTTGGAAGAACAGGAACATACATTGTAATTGATGCCATGCTGAAGCAGACAAAGCACAAACAAAGTCTCAATGTTCCTGCATTTTTAAAGCACATTCGGCAGCAAAGAAATTTTCTTGTTCAAACTGAGGTAATTATTATAAAAACTGGCTTGATTTGTTCGAGGATTTTTTAATGTGTGTCAGTGACTGTATTTGTGTGTGCGTGTGAGCGTTGTTATGAATGCAATTAATTTTTATGAAATTTGCTAATCTGCGCTTCATATAGCGCTTGAAATAAAATTTACATTAACCATTTACAGTAATGCATGCATACATTATTTTAAGTCTGTATGTACATTCATAATACAATCCAAAATTAGTACAGCAAGCCTTTAAACGTGAAAGATGTTTCTTACAGATTTTGTGTAAAACCTCATAACGTGAATGTTTTATTTGATTTTTATCATATTTTTAGAATTAGGAAATGAATTTTGAAAACGAAGCCTTTTTTGACTGAACTTCAGAATCCCAGATTAATAAAAATTTTCTTTCTTTCTTTTTTTTTTCAGGAGCAATATATTTTCATTCATGACACGTTACTGGAAGCAATTGAAAGTGGAGAAACTGAAACTCCTGTTACAGAATTTTCTCAGTATGTCCAAAACTTGCAAGTCATCGATCAAGATCAAGAAAATCAGAAGGCGGTATTAAGTCTATTGGAGAAGCAGTTCAAAGTAAGTTGTTATCATATTTAGTTGCTGCTTTTGGAAGAGCAGACCCTTACACCATATATCATTAGTGTGCATTCATGCAAAATGTGTGTTATTAGATAAAACAGAATGGAGTTGGAAGCACAATACTAATTTCATTGAATAATTCAAAAAGATTCAACTTCGCGAAGCGGCAGTATGCAAATTATTTCACCCGACCTAAAGAGAATGCGCCAGCCAAAAGCATACATTCCGACTGGAAGCTGGTTAAATCTGCCCACGAATTTAGACAAAAAAATTATATCAGAGCGTTTATTTTAAGTTTACAACTGAAGTTATATTGCATTTAAAATACATAATTAATTGATTATTCTTTCAATTTTATCGAGAAAAGTCAAGCTAAAAGACTTGTCATTGTTTTTTTCCTTTCTCTATCTCTTTTTTAGCCTTAAAAATAAAGTAGGTTGCACTTTTTTTAAACTGTTGTTTTAATTTTCGTGTTAGTGTAGATTACAAGTAGTAATTATAGGTATCTGTCAGGTCTATTTATTTTTAGATGAGTTATAAATTTTAGTAATTTTCGTTGGTATCATAAAGTGTACCAAACTTTAGATATACTGGCAGTGAATTATCGCTAAGTCTAAAATAACAACTGAAACTTGAGAAAGGTGTAAAACATCCTTTATTTAAAACTAAATAAGAACAGAAGGCACACTTGGTGCTTACAGCTCAGCCACCTTGTGGCGGGGTACTTAAAAATAGAAAGTTAAATGCAAAATTTAATTTAATTAAGCTAACAGCCAAAGGCTACATAGATCAATTAACGTGAAGTCGGCTCAGATCTTAACAAGTGTTGATATTCAGCTATCGAAATTATTATGCAGAGCCGAAGACTCCAAATTGTGTTTGATCTAGTAACCTAGTAACGTGGTTTTAAGAAGTAGAACGCGCTCTGTCACCTTAAATTTGCGAACTAAATTTGCATTCTTGCAGGAAAATAGAAGTGACAATATAGATCCAAAACATAAAATAACTGGTTTATTCGCAGAAATGAACTTTACAGTATAATTAGCAAAGTACTGAAATTTAAGCAGTAAAAAGTCATTTAGAATGTCCAAATCAAATATCAGGAATTCATCCAAGGAAGCTATATTATGGAAAATGGATTTCGAGTGCAATTTATTAGATTTCATATATGGATTTAAAAAACAAAATTCCGCCAAAATTCGGGTATGAAAAATTATATAAAAAATGATAATTTTTGCATTATAGGAAATTGCCTTATATGCTACGACTCGCTAGTATTTTTTAATGTCAAAAGAAAACAAGTTGTGTTGGAAATGTTTAGAAAACAATTTGGGCCAAAACCTTTTAAATAAGCACTTACTTGCCATTTAAAATTTTAAAAATTCCCCCCCCCCGTCAAGTACGTTTGAAAAATATTATTAAAGTTACTTTTTGTATTACGTATATTTGAGTAATAATAATTATATAGTGGTTATAATTTTTTTATAGCTAGTCACGGGTTTCAAGGCAAAAGATTTTGGTGTTGTCTCTGCCACCAAAGTTTGTAACAGGGGAAAGAATCGTAATATAAATATTATCCCTGTAGAATCTCACAGAGTGCACATTACACCTAAACCTGGCAAAGATGGATCAGATTATATCAATGCAAGTTTCTTGCAGGTAAGCTTTATGCCTTTTTTTTGTGGGAGAGGCATCTTTAGGAAGTACTTATATGGACTTTGTTTGTTTGAACTTATATTGTTTATACTTCCACTTATTTAGGGTTTTCACAAGTTGAATGAATTTATTATCACACAACATCCGACCTTTGATACCATATCAGATTTCTGGCAAATGGTTTGGGATCATAATTGCCAAACTATTGTGTTACTATCCTTTGTAGATGAAAAGGTAATATATATATATATATATATATGTATCATCTGCGGTTTTAATTTCGTACTTGCTTGAGTTCATTTAAAGATCAAATGATGTATTTTGAGATACTAACATTAGATTAAATTGTTTCAGGAATATCCATGCTTTTGGCCTGAAAAAGACAAAGAAAGTGATTTTGGGACTTTCAAAGTAAAAATTAGTGAAGAATGTAGTCAAGACTGTTTTACTACTCGGGACTTTATACTTCAGTCCATGCAGGATGATTATGAAGTTATATGTCGAATAATTGAATGTTCAGGGTGGCCAGAATGCTGTTCGCCTCTTAGTTCTGTGTATGATCTAGTCCATTTAGTGCAAGAATGGCATTTAGAATATCAAAATGGACCGATGGTTGTTGTTGATAGGTAAGAAATTGCATTTTGTAAATGTTTTAACTACTGAGTGTGTTCACTTTTATTTGGAAAACTGTCCTTACTTGCATGACATGAGATAATGTAATTATTATTTTAACTTTGTAAAAGTCTTTAATGAAATTTTTAAATTTTTTTGGCAGTTTTGGCAGCTAAGCTACTATTCTACACATTGTTCATGGGATGGGGCAGACGTAGTCAGCTTTTTAATCATCCGTATGGCCTGACTATAGCAAGTTTTGCAAAGTGGCATAAGATCTCTCGATTTATATTAAGATATTTTAAAACAATAAACACTTCCTAATAAGCCTTCATTTTTATTTATAACAATATAACTTATTGATATAATTTAAAATGCATTTATATTGAACATTATGAATTATTTGTTGAAATGTTATGAAACTGAATGCAGTTGAATGTTATGAAAAATTTGGAGTCTTGTTGTAAAGTCGCAAAACATTGGTAGTTCGGTCCGGGGCTTGAATTCCGGCGAACGGGCTGACTGCATGGGCGTTTTCGGGGTTTTCCCCATGTGTAATGTGTATATGAGCAATTCCCCTTAAAAAGTCATTCCTACCTTAGGCACATAGATACCTTGCCCTCGAGTACTTTGCCATAGCTGAATAAATAAACTATACCAGAATCAATTGATTTCCATTTTTTCCCCCCGTGCAGTGTTTTCCATATGTTTGTTTGAAAACTTGATTTTAACTATTTACGTGATATGTACTTCATTTGACAATATTACAATTTTAAAGCGGATGTGATAAACTATTTACTTTCCTTTTATTCAAGGTGGATAAAAATTAATAATGCCTAGGTGTAAAATATATGATTTTCAATTAAAAATATTATTTTTAGAGAAATTCGTACTTCACTGTATTAAGAATTATATTCGTACTTAACTTACCATTTTGCAATGACAAGTTAAGTACGAATATTATTTCCATTTCGTTTTAATAAAAATGGTGATTACAAATTTAAAATGATCATTTAAACTTAATATTAGTGTGAGTGAAATTTAATATTTACTTATTATTATCCAAGCAGACCATAGTTTTAGGTACATCAAAAAAGTATTGCGAATATATTGATGTTAAAATGTATGTTAGAAATTATGTTAGATTCAAATGGAAACTAAGTGTGAGACTGATTATTGAGTGATTAAAGTGTGAGACTGATTATTGAGTGATTAAAGTGTGAGACTGATTATTTCCACTAAAAAAAACTTGCATTTATGTAAAATATATAAATATGCTCCCTTTGGTTGTTTTAGAATTTTCACTAGTTATGAGTTACTAATGTCATTAGGTATCGAATATAATATTTTCATTAATTATGAGTTTCTTTATGTTATTTTGCACTGAATGTGGTTTTATTTCAGGTCAACTATCCCATTTTCGTATATTTTCTGAAGATTAACGAAAGCCAATCAATGAAATAAATTACACTTTGATGTTTCGTCTTATGCAGTTCTCGCTCACACTGTTATCTTCAGTTTTCTTCATTTTTTCCCCTGAGTTGGACTCAAAAATGTTGTGTATGAGATATATAATAATATATAGTATTAGAAATGTCTTTTGTTAATTACACTGGCCCTGAAAATTTGCATATTTAGCCGAATGAATTTATTTTATGTTAAATCAAACTGATATATTATTTAAAAAATAAAATAAAGATTAAATTAATAAGAAAAGCGTTTTTTTCATCAAAATTTCCCTGCGCCGCCTAGACGGGAAAGTGGCTAGCGACGCTGATGTTCCCGGGTGCATATAAGCATTCTGTACCGTTATAATTCAGGGAAAAAAGTATGTTGATATTAATTAACAAAAGTGGAAAGGTGAAAAGCTCGTACAAGCAATTACGCACTAAATCTATTATATGAGTGAGCACTTACAGTACAGTCAAAAGTCGTTAATCTGTAATGTACATGCGCTGCGCATAATCGCAGGTATAACGGGACCGTTTAATGTATAAGCTAAGGCTAAAACTTATCTAATTATCTATTTCAGTTACGCATGTTCGCATAAGATTGCGTTGTTCCGTTTAATCTTCGAATTGGATCCGGCTTATTATTTTTTGCAGACTGTTAGAGCAATTTTATAAAAGTAAGTTGGAACTTTCGATTGTGTCAAATAGAATTTCCGATGCTGGATCTATAAAGGGAAAGCATGTTTCGATGTCCATCAAACAAAAAGTGGAATTGCTGCAAAAAATGGATAAAGGCTCCTTTGTTTCTCTAACCATTCCGAAATCTGTTTATCAATTTCACGCTGCTCTGCGATGGGGGGGGGAGTAGCGGCGAGCAATGAACTGGAAGTTGATCTGGTAGCACTATCCTTATCTTCAGGGCAGATGTTTTTATTTTATTCGGCTTATAATGTAGTATTTCATCTCGATGTACTCCGTCTTTGATATGATTTAAATCAAATTCCTCGTCAGTATAAATATCACGAATACAAATCAAATAGTTTTCTGGTTGCAATTTTCTAATTTCGACTATGCGTAATGTATGCTTTACGCATGCGCGCGTTGAAAGAAATGTTTAATAAAGTAAACAAATAAATATTAAGCTTTTTTTTTGGTAAATTTTGATACCCTTTAGATCATAATTGCTCTTTATTTTATAAATTACGGTTTCATATTTTTAATTTTATAATTTCTGCATGCCATCTTACCAGATTTAAACTGATGGTCTATAATCCGGAAAAATCGATAATCCGGAATTGCCGTAGTCCCGACGAGTCCGGATTAAAGACTTTTGACTGTATATGAGTTTGCAGGGATTTTAGAAACAGGGGACATGAAAAATGTGCAATGCCATCGCCAAGTCTCGAAAGTAGACCTCTCGAATAAGCGCCGAGTGTGCTACCGTTACACTAAGAAGGCATGCTGGAAGAAGGGAAAAATACCATATAAGTTATATATATTAGTTCTTAAATAAATGGAAATAGCAGTTTGATTGTTCTGCCATACCTAGAATGAGTTAAGTTCTGATTCTGAGCTGTTTGTTGTACGTCTTGATGATTAGAAGTCTTGGATTGTTTGGATGACATTGGTATGGCAGTTCATGTCTCTGGGATTATTCGGTTTGAAGTTAATACATAAGCTGGCTTCACTTTGTCATTTGATAGATTTAGTGCAGTTTGCCCTTTCTCGATTCATCCTCAACTCAAAATAGTCCCGATTCGTCGGCTGCTGTAGCTCACTGATTCCCTTTTTCTTGATTTATTCCGCACTTTGAAAAGTCCTTCTTTGACACAGAGAGCACTAGATTTCGTCAATTAAAACGATTTAGTAGCGTTTCTCTTTCTGCTTTGGCCTGGCTTAGCCTTTGATGTGTAATATTTATTAAATGTTTCCTTTGTGCAATTCATTCTGAACAGAATAATGGTGTTGGTGTGTTGGTGTTGGTGTATTTAATTATGGCAAAGCACACGAGGGCTATCTGCCTAAAGGGAGGGATGCCTTTCGTGGAGGACTTTCTAAGGGAAACTGGCTCGTATACACGTTACACATGGGGAAAACCACGAAAACGCCCATGCAGCCAGCCCATTCGCGGGATTCGAACCTCAGACCGAACTACCAGTGTTCAGCGTCTTTACCGCTCGGCCGCTGGTGGGCTGAACAGAATAATGAATTTCAAGCATGTTTAAAATATGCATATCTGAATTGTTACTTTTTTAATATCGTTCCCAGTTTTCCCTTAATTTCACATACATTTAAAGAAAAATAACTATGGTTCTAGAGTATTTTGGTCCCCCGTCCACGGTTCTAGAGTATTTTGGAGCTCTGTGGATGTGGTGATCATTAGTACCAATGTGTATTTATGTTCAAATAAATACCGGTCTGTTTCAGAAGTGTCCTTTTGATGGTCGCCGCTAGAGGATTCACTATAACAATTTTCTAGTAGATAATAGATTAATTTAATTTATGTCAATTAAAAAGATTAAAAAATATGTGCCTAAAAGATTTTTAAAAAAGTTCTTAAAAAGTGCCAATTTTATTTTGCCTTTGTATTTGTTTACAAATAATATTTTTGTAATTGTGTGTATCTATTTTTAACAGCACTCTTTTTTTATTTCTTAATTTAGGTTTGGTGGTACAGAAGCTGCCACCTTTTGCTGCCTAAGTACACTTCAAAAACAATTAGAATTTGAAAATTCTGTTGATGTTTATATGTATGCTAAGTTATATCATCTGCGAAGGCCTGGGATTTGGCAAACACAAGTAAGAAAGCTTCTGAAATTTCATCCTTAACCTTTTTTAATATACTTAAGAGCTTATGCAACAACTTAAGATCAATTTATAATAACACAAAAAATTAACTTTCATGTCAATATCAATAGGTAATTTAAATCTTAACTCTGAAGTTACTCTCTTTCATCAAAGAATTGAAGGCTATTATAATACTAATTAGTTTTTAAAACATATAGGTAGCACGTACGATGCAAATATTGTATACTTTGCAGGTACATGAAATATGCATTTTCTTATTGTGTTTAAATTAAACATTAATTATTGTTTTAAATGCATTGCTATAACATTTCTTAACGTTGAAAAACACTGATAACTCATTTTATATTTTCTCAGTTGAAACTTTCAGCTTCTTAACAGCTGGTTATCGAAAATATAAGTGTAAAAATTAATTTATGTGAAATGATTTTATACTTTATTCTGAAGAATGCCAAAATAATTTATATTCCTTTTGTTACTGATTTCGTTTAAATGTAAATAATTTTAATGAAATTATTGTGTAACTGTTGTATCGTTTGTATAATGTAATGTGAAAAAAATCTAAAGAAGGAACATTTTGCCAGAAAAATAAGAATACAGGGCAAGTCTAATGACATTGCTATCTTGCTAAATGAGCGCAATTGAGTATATGGCTGTCTTGCTAAATTAGTGGGATATTACCAAGCTGGCGATGGTTTGGAAACTAATTTTGTCGCGAAATTATTCGAGAAATCGCTGAAAGTCAATAAACTTGGCGATCATTTTGTAGAAACATTAGGATTTTTTTAAAGCGGGAGTGATGAAAAATCTGCAACTGACTTCGCCGGGAATCAAACCACGGACCTTTGGAATACCGGCCCAGCGTGCAGAACCACTATACCACGAAGGCACGCTAGAAAGGCGGGAGAAATACCTTATAATTTTAACGGCGTTTTGTTCCGTTCTCTGTATATAACCGTAAAGGGTAATTAATTCTGTATGTCGCTGTAACTGTATCTGGCCCTCATATGCCTTCAAATAAGTGTCTTCCGAGAAGTGGAGGGTACTAACGATTTCTTGTCGGCTGGGGAAAAAGTGTATAAGACCTAAGAGAGCATCAATTTCGGAGTCAATTTCGGAGTAGCTGTTGTTTAGTTCAGTGAATTGAGATACCTCCGTGTTAGCTTCGCTCTTTAGATGCGCTTTGTATAACGTTGTCTTCAACGTTCTTAGTAGTTTGAAGTGTAACTACTGATTGTAATTTGTGATACTGTGAAGAGCTGTACAAGTATTTTTGTGGAACGTTTCCAGAACTGTGAAGTGTTTCTTTTGGTAAAATAAATTTGATCAAACTATCATTGATTTTGTGTGCATTCTATCTAATACGAGCCCATATGCACGCAACAGTTTTATAGGTCCATCTTCAATCTAAAATCCATAAAATCAAGGGCAGTTTAAGAAAGAATTTTTCTTAGTTTTTGTCCTGGATATCGGTTTCTGTCCAGCTAATTTTATATCTCTGTGTAATACTTAAGACTTTAAAAACTGAGAAGTTCCCCTTGTGAACATTCTTTCGCCATGTACCATATATAATCAGAGTTAAAGAGTAATATATAAATTAAAGAATTTTATGCACTAATAAATCGCAAAAGAAATATTTGAATCGAACCCGAGTTTTCCTAATTTATTTTTTTCTCTCAAGGAAAGCAGCTGTAAAAGATGTTAAAAGTCTCAAAATTTCAAATTAAATACCTTTGTCAGTTCTGTCATGTAAGAAGCAAACTTTTTGTGTTGTGTTTTTTATAATTAATATAATCTTTCACTAAATAGGTACGGAACCACTGTATAAAAAGTAAGATTTTGTAATTTGTACAAAACAGATTTTTTTTTTTTTTAATTTAAAAATGGCGAACATTTGTGGAAATAAAGGCCGCATGAGGAAATTCCGGTATATATACTGAAGTCTAAGTATTAATATTTTCTTCACAAATAAAGAAAATACAGTTCTGATGTACTGAAAAAACATAATTTCGAGTAATTCTGTATCAAAAGAAGAAAATGTTCTTTACTAAATTTATTTACACGGTTAATCTGATATATATTTATCTTGTTTCAGTGAGGAATATGAGTTGAAAATTTTCACAAATGGAATGCTGAGAATTGTAAAAAGAATTCACTTGTTTATTTTTTAGAAAGAGTAAATTAATATGCAAAATGAAATTCAGATACTAAAACTTTAAAAGTAAAGGTAAATTAGGTTTTAGGTAAGGTAAAGGGTAAATTTGGGTTAATTTTGTAATTTAAAGGTAAATTTTGTAATTCACGAAAATCTGTTTCTTAATTTAATAATTAATGATGTAAAATTATATTTTCTTGTTTGTGTAACCATAAAATTATAATTAATTTTGATTATAATTTTTTTTAAAAAAAACTGCATTAACAATATTTTTTGTTGCTCATTTTATCCTTTACCTTGAAAATTTTATATTTGTATAAAACGTGTCATTTGAGTCATTTTTGTTTGTATCTAAGGATAATGAAAATAAATCCAATGTTCGATAAATTGAAATTGCACTTTAAATTCTTGAGTAGATAATTACTGATGTTGTTTCAAAATAGAGACTCATAATGAAAAAGACAGAACAGTTTATATACTCAAAATGTCAGTTTTTGAAATCGTTTATCAAATTTTCATATTAAAATTAGTGAAATTCTTATTTCGGACTAATGCTCATACATGTTGTAAACATATAAAAACACATTCTTGAATGTTTTCTATAATTTATTTTGCAGAATGTATGTTCTAAATTTTGGCTATAACACATGATATTAAAAATGATTTATTTTACAGGATGATTATTATTTTTTGTATCAGGCAGTGGAAAAGAGTTTATTAGCAAGGCATGATACTACCGTATCGCATTTTAATAGTCCTGTTAGTAATGGTCATGCTCTTCCATTCAAAGAAGAACCAGTTATCTGAAGTTTTCCTCTCACTATGTAAATAAGCAATCTTTGACTGTGTGTTTTGTGTGCCTCATACCAAGTGGCAATCAGGACTGCAAAACCTCACTATTTTTTAAGTGGAGGTTAGTTTCTAATGTTAGTAATATGTTGTTGTGTGATATGAGGTATTTTCTAAACAAAACTAGGTAGCAAAAAGTGACAATCTCGTGAATTTGATGAATTTCGTCAGGGTAAAAGACATTTTAGCATTATTTTTCATTCGTGGATAATATTTGTATGTCACTAAATAAACTTCTGAACAGATTAAAAAAAATGGAATTTCGAAATTTTTATATCTGTTTCGTTTTTTTTTTTTTTCTTTTCTTAAAAATTTCAAGCAATACTTTATATTTTCTTCATCAAATTCTGTGATTGTATTATTACATATTAGGTAAAATTTTCATGAAACTGCATTATGTAATACATTGTTTAAATTGAAAACATAGTTCTTGTAATAGTCTTTTGAGCCTGTTGCTGTTTAATTGCATTTATTGTTTCAATACATTCCTAACATTGTATATAAAGATATCTCTTGTAAAGACTATTGCTAGAAAGCAACAAAGTTTCGGTTGCTTTAAGTTAAATATTTTAGAATTAAATTAAAAATTAAGCCTGTTTTTGCAGTTTTTGTATTTACCAATGGCTTAAAAGAATTCGGTGAACAGTTATCAAACTAAAATTGCATTTTAAAGACATTCTTTGTATTTGTAATATTTTGAGAGATGATCTTTTCAATGCATTTCTGTTTGTTATTTAAATATTATTTTTGTAATACAACTGCAGTTTATAACTCCAAACTTTTGGATTAACGATTGGTTAGCATCTAACTGCATTTTATTAGAAAAATTTTAAAGCATCTACATATATTACTTGTATGTAAGTTAACTTGCTATAAATACCTAAGATTTATTATTGAAAACAAAACAGATTCTTGTTATTAAGAAAATATCTTATCTTTATAAAGAATTAAACTTTTTCTTCAAATCTTGCAGAAGTTGCAGACACTTTTGTAAACATTACGTTCATAATTGTAAACATTAAGTTTTTTTTTTTTTTTTTTTTTTTTTTTTTTTTTTTTACACAAATAACCACCCCTCTAGTGTTCTACGGTTTTCAGATTTCTTCCAATGCATAAAACTTATTTCTTTCAAAAATTACTGATTACTTAACAAAATCAATGTTATCAATTTTTTTTCAAGAAAATGTTATCGGTTAATTCGTAAATTTAATTTAAATTTTCATATTACTTCCTTCTAAAGTTTTAAATTAATAATAATGAGAATAATGATCTCCCATAATCTGAATAATGAGAATATTTGATCTGCCATGTGATGAAATAAAATTTCTTTGTAGTACATTTTAGTACATTTAATAATATAGAAAACGTTTTGATTTTTTGCCAGAATTTTAATGAAAATATTGAGCATTTATAAATTTTCTATACATACCAATCTGCCAACTTTTATATATATCATGCATAAAAAGAATAAATAATTTTTGCTTTATTTTATGGATTTACTAATGAGTCTAATTTTCTAAACGTTTCAAAATTATTTTTTATTTGAATTAGGATTTATTAAATGGAAAAATAGAAAGAAATAGAATGAGGTAGCTTTGCACTGCCTAAAGTTCCTTGCTTTGATATTCACTGACCATTTTACGCCTTCACAGGTTGTCTTTTATGTTGCTTATTTGGTAGAGCAAAGCTAATTGCATGGATGTCCAGTTTTATATTGAAGAATGAAAAGGAGTTTTGATCGTTGTGGACTGAATGATGATGCAAAAAAATGGTTTGAGTAAGCGAGTGAAATATGTATGAAAAAAAGCACTAAAAGTTTTGTTAATGTTAGTTTCAAAATTTAAAATAAATTATAAAAATTATAAAAAAGCAAAAAAGTTGAATGATACAAAACTTGTTATATTATTATACGTTTAGTAGTGATAAAAATTAATTATGTCTGTTTCATAAAATTCGAAATTCCATGAAATTCAGCTCAACAACAATGTCGTAAAATAATTTTAAAATGAGCAAATTTTTAGAATTTTCGATACACAGTTCCGCGCGCTGGAGATAAAAAGGTCCCATCCCCCGTAGAGTGTTGCCATTGCTTGCTTTTAAATCGTTGAGTTTGTTAATCAAAAATTCGTTAAAGTTTTACTAAATATGAAATTGATAAAAAACAAATTCCAAGTTTCAAATTTGGGTTTTCAGATGCTCATATTCGCAGTAGGATTACGTCATTCAAAATTGGAGGGCTCTAGATACCGTTGTTTTATCACAATGCAAGAAACGTACATACATTTATGCAGGTTCTTCATTATTTAATTTTTTTAAAATATAATACAGGGTGATAATATTTGGTGGCAAAGATTTGAAAAGTAATACGGAGTTTATAAGGTTCCGACGCAAAATCGCAAAACGAAAACAATAGTCCTTCAAGGACAAAGCCCCTTTGGACTAATAAATAAATAAAAACTATTAGTTTTATAGTTTTCTAATTTAAGTCGACGATCATTGATGTAATGAGACGAATTCATACCAATTTATTTCCTTTTCAGCCCTTTAATTTCAGAGTTCTGTATGATGTTTACCTATCTCTCCAGATATCCGTCAAGCTCGTTTCATTGTTAGTCGTAATAAACCTTTTTTTTATGAAATTATTTTTGTGGTGACAAATGTAAAAGTAATTAGAACGCAGATAGTAAATAAAAATCATAATTCAAAGGAAATACTTTTCGATAACTTCGAACGCAATATCAACGCATCGCTGCTCGCCAGAACAAGGGATATGTCACGTGTGATTATCTGTTAATCGTACGTGCTTAAAGCGTAAACATAAAGCATTAGGCTCAAGACTAAAGAAGGATCTGCACTCCTTGAGTTCCAGTCAATGTGTCAAGACATTTTAGAAAAAGTTTACGTCAGTGTGAGTAGAGACGATCGAGAAGAAAGTATTAGATTATTATTAGCAGTATCATTATAAGTACCAATTTTATTTTATTTTGACAAAATACTCTTCTTTAGTTGTCTTGAATAATTCAAGAAGTGATACTAAATTGATGGAGCGAATAGTTAGTTTCAGTGAAGATTGCTCTGGTAAAAACTCCGAAGAGCATGAAATCGCCGTATCTGAAGGTGAAGGTATTCAAACATCTATATAGTAGTAATGAAGAAAGGTTTCAAAATGTATGTTGGGCAGGAAAAGGATGCGTATTTATTTCAGATTCAGAGTTGGATACTGAGACGAACATTCCTGGCATATCTCAAAATGCAAGTCAAACAGAAGTTGTAGCTGACATAACCATGTGGTAAAAAATTGGAAATAGGAAAATCTTGTGGTAGACCATCTGCCTGTACATTATTCAAAGACGTTGCAGGATCAACTGACTATGTAAAATAAAATGCTATGTTAGCATGTGTAAATAGTGCGTTCCAATATGTAATAGACGTAAACGTGGGGCAAAACAGAAAAAAAAAAAAAAAAAAAATACTGAAACGGAAGCACTTCGAGTTTTCAAAAAGCAGCGAACAATTTCAGTTGCAGAATTACGTATATGCTTTTGTAGATTTTTTGCATGCTGGAGAGAGGTGGAGGGGATATAAGGCACGATGAATGAAAGCTTGTTATTTTTGACACAAAAAATAGGCCTCTTTTCTAGCAAGCTTAAAAGTTTTGACATAAAATTTTGTTTGACCGTCGTTCTATATTTGGAAACAATCATATTTCATAATAAGACCAAATTTGGTGTAGATGTAGTCGATCAAATAGCGCTCAAATTCATTGCAAAAGCAGGATTTTCCGGTGGCCTCCTGAGATTGTTTATAATATTTCAAATATGCCCCGCATAAATGCCTGGTTGCCGTACAAGAAATGTACCAGTGAGAGAATATCTCGAAAAGATTTCATGTTTCAACTGGCCGAAGAGCTTGTCGGGGAACAGAAGCTCCTTCCATCCATTAGCAGTTCTCAACTACGCAAATTGAGACAAATTGGCTACTGTAACAAAACTAGAAGTAAGAGTATTTTTATTAAATGTTAAAATATATGTGTGTGTGGAAAATGTATAAGGACAGCAGAATATGTCTGCAAAAAATGTGCAGAATAAAAATATGAATAGTAAAAGTTGATATAAGTTTGTGTTTACAGTACTTCTTTTCCTTCTTCCTTTGCTTTTAAAAACAGTAGACTTAAACACATTCTTCCAACTTTTCCATGGTCTTCTAACCTTAGCTGGCTATTAACACTTATATCATCAGAAAAAGAATATTCACTTGCAGACTCAGAGCTCGATTCAGGTAGGCTGGGGATCTAGGCAGAAATCTTTTCAGGGGCTCTAATGCTCATTTTCCTCGTTTTCGTGAGAGAAAAATAGTTTTATGACTTTACAGAATAATGTAAAGAGCCTTTAAAATCCGAGGCACTAGGCCTAGGCCTTGTTGACCTAGGCAGTAATCAAGCCCTGTCCATACTCGCTTCTTCCCAAATATGGTGCCTTGTCACTTAAAGAGACATTAGATGTTTGTAAGCATGATCATATGGAGTGAAATAGAGGAGCTAGCTAGTTCCTTTAGTTATAATAATGAAGTAACTCGCTTGATGTACCTATGAGTGGTCTATTTTGTCTTGCATAAGAAAACTTGGAGTTTAGATGCTCTTCTCATGAATTTAGAATGTTTGTCACATTGTTATAGGATGTTTAGTGCTTATGTAGTGCTACTTACATCTATACTAAATTCGTAAATTTGCAAGGAAAAAATATGTTAAAATTCTTTCAATTAAAGTTGCATTTCAATTTCTATCTTTTCTTCCATTCTACTTTTTGAAGAGAAATAAAATGTGGAGGCTGATTATGTATGTAACGTACAAAATTTTTCAATTTTTGTAACTTATCAAAGGTTTTAAATATTAAGATTTATGTTGCAACATTACATAAACTACCCGATATAATTGCAAAAATATTTATTAAAACTGACTTTTTTCTTTAACAGCTGTAATAAAAATTGATCCAATTACTGTTAATAACAAATGTCCATTGATATCAAATAAAATGCACTTTTTGACTATTTTCATAATCATATATGAAGCCAAGAAGCCATGGAATTATAATTTAGCAACCAATTACAGTTTACTAGTGAATCGATTAAAAGTGTGCTTGGAATTATTGAGCAATAAGAATTTAGTGGCTCAAACTGTTAGCTGATTTTTTTCCCGTCCGTCGCCAAGAAGCTGGAGCAGCTTGTAAACAACCCCACTGCGTTTTACGTAGCTTTCGCATTGCATAATTTTTGTCAATATTACGTATTTAATTCCCCTTAATGCTAAGCATGAACAACAAATATTGTGTTTCAATTAAAATCAAAACTAACTTTCTTGCTTATATTATGTGAAGCAGAGACAAACTGCGAAATATTTTTACTTGTAAACCTTGTCATAAGATTACAAACTCAAAATACACTTTTTTAATGTTATAATTTTATAAATATAGTTCTCTAATTTTAAAAATGCCCTAAAATGGGCTTCAAAAGAACATTTGAGTATGAAACCACTATTAGACTTTTTAATAAAGGTATTACAGTAATGCAATACATTGAGCCCAATTTTTTTATTGCTATTTTTTAATTTGTACACCACAACCTGGGTATCGATTCTTTTAAACTGGCATCTGGCAATCTCTAAATTATTTTCAAATGATACTACTTAAAAGTTACTGTTGCTTAAGCGTGCCCAGTTAATTCTAGAGGCCAGTTTTTCATTGTTAAGAACCTGGTGGTGAATGTATTTACTTTTCATTGGCAAATCAAAATTAATTTCAATTACTCCTATTCGATGAAAATTAGGAAAAAATTCTTGTGACGAAACTGCAATCTTCATGCTGTAAGTAAAGTTGAAAAGAACAAGAATTATGAAGTTCATTAAATACTGAAAAAATTAAGTTAAGTGTATGAATATGAAATTTATATTTAAACAGTAACAATCTCAGCTTTCAGAAGATCTCAAACCTTCTTAGATTTATGGCCGTTAGTGTATAAAAGCGGTTGTATATCTGTAACACCCTAGATCAGCTTTAGTAAGTTAAAAAATACACGCATTTCAAACTCACAAAAAAATTTTTTGTGCCCCAACTGCGAGTTACTTTGCATTTGTCGTCCAAGTTGGCAGGTTTCTAGATGGACTGTAGTAACTTTATGCATTAAAGTTGTTTTTAATATTTTTTGACCCGACACTATATTTATCCATCAGATTGAAAATTTTAATTTTAGAGATTAAACTATGAATAAATTATGAAACTAAAAAAATTAATTACTTAATTTCAATTTTAATATATTTAAAAGTTATCAAAAATTTACATGTTCTATTTGACTGTTATATATGTAGAATTTCATCTGTTTTCATCTGTGCTTGCAATCAAAGTACTTTATACAGGCAATTAATCAAAACTTTTACATGCAATGGCTATTAGATAGTTAATTATATCTTAATGTATTTGTGAAATCTTAATTTGAAATTATTTTATCATTTTATGTATAGTTAAGTGGATTTTTATTGTACTGAAAGTATCCTGACACGTTTATTACATGTGTATGGGAAATAAACGAAAAAATATAGAAAATTTATTGAACTTATTAAAAAATTGGAATGTTTTTATTGAAGTAGCGCTGTAAGTTATTAATAGTCTTTAGATAGCAAGATTTGAATGTGAAAATGTTTTTGTATCCTGATCGTTTTGTACAACTAACATTCTGTGTTGTCCATTATGTATAGATAGGAAATTCTGCACATATCATATATGAACTTCCTTTTCTATCACTGTAAACTCTATTGACACAGATTGTTTAAAGGTTTTCGTATATATTAAAAAGATATTATTTATGTAATATTTTAGAATATTTGATACTATTGTCAGTGATATAAAAATTACATAATTTTTTTATAATGCATAAACTTCTATTTGTATTAAACATTGCTCACGTTATTGGTAAAAATGTAATGCTTTAGATACAGTCTTTTATGATAAATTTACTTAAAGTAATCTCAAGAAAAAATTATACCTTTTATTGGAAATAAAACAGTCTTTTATAAAATTGAATACACAGTAAATAAGTCTTCCTTTTAAGAAT